AGCCGTTGGGTGTAATGGAAAAATCTTTCTGTCCTCTACTTTTAAAAGGCGCTGAATGTTACCACTTCCTTTCCGGTTACCTCTTAAAGGGAATGACCAAGGGGGAGTGGCCTCCATCCCTGGCCCTCCTGGGGACTGCAATTTGTTTTGCAGTGTCACAGCTACAGCTGTTGGTCTGTTTGGAACAGATAACGACCTTTATTTGTGAAATTGCAAATTTACTGTCTCCACAACATTGAGTAAGTGCTGCAGGAAGGAAAATAACAGCAGAAAATCTTGACATCTTCTCTTCCTTTCCACGGTATATGAATCAGACTCAGCCTTGCATGGTGGCCCATGCCTGTAATCCCAGCACTCGGGAGGTAGAGGCCAGAGGATCAGGACTTCAAAGTCATCTCCAGTGAAATGGCCAGGCCAAGGCTAGCATGGGTTATAGTAGACCCTATAAGTAAAGTCAAATAAAGTAATACAATATATAAGATAAAACAAAAGAAGGAAGATCAGACTCTCTTAAAGGGATGGTGGCAGGAATGCCTTTCACAGGCTAAAATGACAAGTTAAGCCACATCAGCCCTTAATCTGACACTGACGTTTACTAGGCAGCGGCTCGGGGTTTCCGGTTACAGCTGAAGTGTTCAGCCCCTTTCTTTTTCTGCCCCCTGCTGGACACCGCTGAACACAAAATTCCGCAAATGGTTCCCCAGAGAAAAAAGCTCGGTGAGGAGTGCTAAGCCATTCCATGTACTGCCTCGGTTTCAGGATATGGACCAATGTACACATTAAACTACTCCTCAGAGAAAACGAGTATTCGTAGGGAAGTAACCCCCACCCCGCCCCACTGTTTATCCCAAGCATTCAATGGGCTTTTTTGTTTTACCTTTCTCTGGATTGATTTTAGGTGTTTTCCTTCTTCCTAGTGACAGGATCTTATTACATAGCTCCTCTGGTGGCCTAGAACTCACTATATAGATCAAGATGGCCTTGACCTCAAACAGATCTGTCTGCCTGTCTGTCTCCTGAGTGCAGGGATGAAAGGCATGCCTGCCTGGTTTTACTTCTTGAGACACCATGCTATGTAGCTCAGGCTGGCAGAAACCTACATTTTTCTCCTGCCTCAGCCTCTCAACTGTTAGAATTAAGAAGCAAGCACCAGGAGATTCCATTTATTCTCCTTTGTATCATAATAGCAGTAACTTTCCCTTCCATTTTCTAAATGTGAAAATATTATATATCACTTAAGTCACCACAACCCACGTCCTGTTCTTAGATGTCATTAAGATCCCACAGTCCTTCCTCCCATTGTTCCAGGTCACCCTGGACTGAGGTAACGCCACCACCCACCTCTGTGTTCTCTGCTCCTTTCCACCCTTATCCCCCCTCCCCCATGGACACGAGCTTTTATTCAGAACTACCCTGTGAGCTACAGTGACTCAAGGCCTGTGAATTCAGCCAACACAAGAGGCAGACAGTGGCGGGAAAGGCACAGCTGTCATCTTGAAATGGAAAACACTGGCCATGGCCTCCCTACAATACAGCCCACCGTTCTGTTTATGGGATGTTTCTCACAGTCCGAGCCTTCTTGGCTGTAGTGTCTCCTGTCTACTGCCCCCCACCGACCCTTTTGCTAACAGGCACCTGGTGGCACCCACATTTCCTTTAATGGCTTAGGATGAGTGAGCTCTTTTGTTCTTCAGTCCCCTAGCTAGGCTGTAGCTTTACCTCTTGCGAAGCTCAGGCAGGCACCCTGGTTTCCATCATCGATACAGACAGCCAACAGAATCTTTGAAGCTGTGTTTCCAGGTCGAACTGCAAAGCCTGCTCTCGTGTACGACCAGCTAGAGCCAACCAGGAGTCTGTGATATACACTGGCTGGCTTTCAGCATGCCACTACTGCCCTAGACCTCTCCTAAGACCTCCTGCCCCCCCCCGCCCGGTTTTCATCTCTCTCCACCCCAGAATTACTGCACTCTGTGGATACTGAAGAAAAGCAACACCAGAGAGTGTAAAAATGTGAGCTCAGGTGTTCGAATACTTAGATGGCATAGTTGTGTTCCTGTGAGCTGCTTTGGAAGCGGAATCTCCAATTGTCTGTCTCGGAGCATCTGTTTCCCCTTTCACATCTAACATCCCAGTTCCTGTGGGAATCTATGTGATTCCGGGAGGTTAAGGAGTGTATCGTCTCCCCAGTCACAAGAGCAGGCTTTGAGTATAGTGTGATAGCTAATGTTTACCTGTCCATGTGTCCATAAACATCGTTTGCTTATAAATAACATTTCCTTTAGTATTCTTACTCAGTCTGGTGGTCCAAACCCCTAATCCAAGCTACTCAGGAGGCTGAGGCAGGAGGACCTCAAGTTCAAAGCCAGCCTGAGCAACTTAGGGAAACTATGACTCAAATGAAAAGGAAGGGGGGGGGGCTAGGATGTAGTTCCCTTTACAATACGTGTCTAACTTGCAGGCAGACCCTATGAAAAAGCCTGAACAACATGGATAGGCACACATATGTCAGGCCTTTTCCTGAGAATTCTAGGCTGTCACACTCAAAGAATGGTGGCATTCAAACCACCCCTTCACCTTTCCCCTGCAGGGTTAGGAGGAAGATAAATCTCAAGACAGCACACCTACCAGTTACAGAGCTGATCTAGACCCATGTCAAGGGTAGGCAGATGCACTAGCTTTGGATAGGACTGTTCCTTGGCGTCTTCAGATGTAAAATGGGCTTAGAGTACCCACCACACGGGGCTATGCAGAGCATTCAATGAGCTGATAGAAACTAAGCACTTAGAACAATGCCCAGGTCATAGTAAATGCAGGTGGCAGCTGGTGGTGGCGCTGGTGTGGCGGTGTGTGGTAGAACCCAGCCTGAGGATAAGGTTGACAAGGAAGTCAAGAAAATGTCCCCAGAGCTCCAATGACCTCTGGGATCTTTGGATCAAACTGAGAAAGCAGTGTGACATACATCCTATCTTCAGACTTTCCAGTGACACAAACTCAGGAATCCTTTAATGATCTAAACCTATTTGGGTTGGGTTTTGGTTGTTTCCACTGAGAGGAATCCCTTTCTGTTTTGGTGTGTGGGTGATTTGTTTTTTTCCAGAACCACAAAGCATAAAAGTTTTATCCACACCCATTTCCCCAGAAAATGGAGCTACTGCCTCTCTCCAAGACACGCTAGTTCCAGGAAGCCTATTTCTACCCATCCACGGGGAACTTCCTTCAATACCCTCAAGGAGATTTATCCTCCTGTGACAGTCACCCAGATGATTTCTGGGTAGTTGTGAACACACATTTCACTGAAGAGGAAGCAGGAATGAACTAGAAGCCATGATTAGACAATTTGCTTGAGGAAAATGCAAATATAAAAACATTTCATCTCAAAACCTCATCAACTCTGTGCAATCAAGGGGGTCTACAGTTTATAAGACAGTTTATAAAGACTGGCATCATGCAAAGATGATCGTGTCTGTCTTACACGGCACTACCTCTACAGACTCTGTCCCTGCTCACAGACATGTGCCATGGGAGACACAATAATGTACAGATGCTCTGTGGGGCATAGCAAAGGGTAAGGAAATATCCACGGCACAAGAGTATAAAAATGATACCAATACTTAATGAATTCCAAGGCAACGTGGGTGAACTACAGCTACGTGCAGATGCGGACACCTTAAAATTATGGCTTTGGTCAGGGAACTTGCAGGAAATCTACCAAATGTTAATGCATAACTATTTGATAATTATACATAGGGCCACATCAAGGCTGAAAAGCAATAAAATGCTTTAAAAGCCAAAAGGATAGTTATGGGTGGGAAGAAGAGGGCACCATTCATAGACAAGTCTGAGAACTATAACTTTTTATGACATGATTTAGTAATATGGGTTTTTGTGTTTTATCTTTACATTATATTCCTTTTGTATGCATGTTTTTATTGTGACAAAATACATAAATTTGGACGTTCCACCTTTTCATTGTAATCATTTTAAGTGCGTGGCTTGATGCAATTAAATACACCCACCTTTTTGTACAACCATCTCCCCTACCCTGCCCCTGCCCCGCCCCATCTCTAGCACAATTGTGCTTTAAGTTAATCAAGAAATCATTGTCAGGATTAGAGAGATGATTCATTCGTTTAGAGCCTTTTGCTGAAGACTCCGGTTCGATTTTCAACACCGCCATGGTGGTTCACAACCATCTGTAACTCCAGTTTGAGGGTGTCGGATAGAGAGAGAGGGACAGGAGAGGGGAGATGGCGGAGGGAGAAGAGGGGAAAGGGGAGCGAGAAGAGAGGGAGGAGAGGGAGAGATGAGAGGGAGGAGAGAGGAGAGAGGCAAAACAATCATACACATAAAACAAATCTTTTCTTTTTTTTTCTTTTTTCTTTTTTTGGTTTTTTGAGACAGGGTTTCTCTGTGGCTTTGGAGGCTGTCCTGGAACTAGCTCTTGTAGACCAGGCTGGTCTCGAACTCACAGAGATCCTCCTGCCTCTGCCTCCCGAGTGCTGGGATTAAGAGCGTGCACCACCACCTCCCAGCCACATAAAACAAAATCTTTAAAAAAAAAAAAAAAGCCAAGTCTAACGTTTAGTTTTCGCCGGTTTAGCTCTTAGGTCTTTGATCCTTTAAATTCATTTTTCATTCTTTTGCACCACAAGAAAAAATTTTTTTAAAAAAGAAAGCATTATGAGTACGGATCCCGAAGGGTTTGCGAAGGAAGATCCTGGAAGGGAGGACACATAGACAGTCAGCTGCTGCAGGGAGCTGGCTCGGGTCCGCCCCCCCCCCCCACACACACCCCACACCCCCCCCCCCACAGCCGCACCATCCGGGTCAAGTCCCCGCCCACGAGGCCACAGTACCGAATTCCCGAAACACTGGCGCGGTCCTCGGCCGGGAGGGACAGCGGGGGAGCCGCGAAGCGGTACCATACGGGACTCCGCTCCGCTGCCGAGCGTTATCCAGGCCTGGGCGTTGGTCATGCTCTCTCCCTGGAAGCCCTCTGAGCCCGCCCCGGAAGAGGCGGAGCAGGGAGGGCTAGGCTCTGATTGGCTGATCTGAACGGTGCGCGCTCGGCGCGAGTTTTGGCAGCTCCGGGTGTCTGGAACGGCAGGATGGCGGCTCGGAGAAGCTTGAGATTCCCGGGGTAAGTGTTGTTATCCCGCACGCCGCCCGGGACGGGCTCAGCGTGTCCCAGAGACTCGCCGACCCGTGCCCGGTTCCCGCAGTGCCGGGTTCTAGAGTCGTGGGGGAGGGGATGTAGTCCCAGGAGTCCAGCTGGGTGGGAGAGGAACTCGGACACTAGCGTTGCTTTGTGTGACAAGCAAATATTTACCGAATCCTTCCTTGCTTATTCCTTGGTCATTGCTTTCTTATTTCCCAGACCCAGCTGTTTTCGTAATAGACAACAGGGACCCTGACGCCAAAGCTGATCTCTAGTTTAGTGTTTGGGATGGCCTAAATGCCTACAGGACATACAGGGTGCGCCAGGCATCTTTTTATTATAAAGAGAAAGGAATCCATCTGGAAAGAGGTCGCTAAATTGGGCCCTGAAAGGTTGGTTCTAGGATCTGCTGGCGAAGGATCTTCTGGGAGTATCTGGCGCGCATTCAAAGCCCGCTAGGGATCTGGGTAAAGAGGTCTCCGCTGGGTAGGCGTTCTTCCGTGGGAAGATTGCTTGTGGAAGATGGTGTTTGTAGGTACTACAAGACACAGATGGTGGGGGAAATCCACCCTCGGCGAGCCGTGGAAGACTGCAAGTCAGCGGACTAAGGAAATGTTCAAAACTTGATCTGCTAAGCCATTGATTTTGTTTCAGCATCTCGAGGCTTGAGACTCCTGAAATCTGTTTATCATGCACTCCGGGAACACTGATTGGCACATACAACAGAGATTGTGTACATGGTTATCTTAGAGATTCCCATCGTTTGGAAGTTGCTCCGGGATTCTAGCCCAAAGCCAGAAGGAAGGTTCTTTGTGTTTTTGGAGCACAGACAAGAACAAGATGGAAAGAGTTTAGGCTAAGCAGCCCGTGCCACCTGATTTTCATGCCTGCTCGTCTCACGTGGGGCAATCAGTTCCTAACCACGAAGTAGTTACCACAGCGCAAATAGTTCTGAGAACCAACTAAAGCTGGGAGTTGTTTAGAAATGGGAAATCTTAGCCTCAGCCCAGAGTTTCTTTGGCATGTGATGACCTGCGGCAGCTTGTTTTTAACAAGTCACCTAGGCAAAGCAGCGATTATTAGTGCCTCCCCCCACTTCAGTTCTGGAGATGAAGCCGAGGGCCCATGTGTGCTGCACAAGTGTACCATTGGCCTGCACCCCCAGCCCAAGCCTTTTAGGCGGCTCTGAAGTCAGCTAGTTTGAGAACCAGTTCAGGGGGCATTTGTGCAGATGCTCAGACAAAGTCCTGAGGAAATTCTATACTCAGCGCAGCCTTTTGAGAGCTTGAGAGCATTTCATTGTAACAGAATGACATACTTTTTTTTTAGATTTATTTATTATTATGTATACAGTGTTCCGTCAGCATATATGTCTGCAGGCCAGAAGAGGGCGCCAGATCTTGTTACAGATAGTTGTAAGCCACCATGTGGTTGCTGGGAATTGAACTCAGGACCTTTGGAAGAACAACCAGTGTTCTTAACCTCTGAGCCATCTCTCCAGACCCCGAAGACATACCTTTTATGTTGTGACCTAATGCACACAGTTGAGATGGTTCACAAAGGGGCGCGAGCACCCCTTCCCCATTCTGCTTCTGTAGTTGCCATGGTGTCTGCTCTGCTGGATGAGCACTGATGAGGAAAAGAATCTGGGAAGGATTGCCTGGGAAGGCTCACAGCTTGTAGTGCTTTCCCCAGTTATTCTAACTCCACCTTTTAACTTTGTTGTCTGTGTTTTAATAGTGCAAAATGTTCCAAGAACACTCTGGGGAGAACACATTCTAGGAAGCAGGTAAGTAATCTTTGTTAATGTGATTTCTTTTTTAACCATTGAAAACAAGACTGTCATAACATGGGAAGCACATTTTGTAGACTTCTCTTGACAAACTTTTTTTATGATAGCTTTAGAAAGTGCTTTATCAGCTGGAGGTGGTGGCGCACACCTTTAATCCCAGCACGTGGGAGGCAGAGGCAGGTGAATCTCTGTGAGTTTGAGGCCAACCTGGTCTAAAGAGTGTGTTCCAGGATAGCCAAGGCTACACAGAGAAACCTTGTCTTGGAAAAGAAAAAGTGCTTTATCTGGTATGATGGAGAAAAGGAACTTCATCAATACTTTAGAATCTTTTTTTTTTGAGCCTAGACTGACATTAATTTTATTCAGATATTTGACATCATTTAGAGTTGTATAAGGTTCTGTATTGTCATTTTTCACATATATATATATTTCCCCTGTTACAATTTTTAATAGCTGCATGTGGGTTTCTGGTATTCCTCTTGATTCGTAGTATAGTTTTATTTTTCTAAAGGAAGGGTATGTTAAAGGCAAGTGCATTTGTGTAATAGACTTAATTGCTGATTCTAAACTATCTGCTGCCATTTCAAATTACAGTGATGAAGGTGCTTACTTTTCGAGATGAGGGCTAGCTCTTAAAGCTGTTTTGGCCTCCTTCTCTGTCCCCGGCTTTCTCCATCTTAGGCAGCTCCCTGCCTGCTGCCCTGACCCTAGCCTTGGGTGATGTCCTTCCCTGTGGTGAATCCCGGGCGGACCTCTGGGGCATTTCTTGCCCACCACTGCTCAGAGTAGCTAAAGTCCACTGTGCCCCCCCCCTCCCCCGGGGGTAGGGTGAGGTGGGGTGGAGAGTGGTTCTTTACTCACTTTAGACCCCTTTCTAGCCTTTCCTGTTGGAAATCAGTGTCTAGAATGGATTTTCTGGGTCCTCCCTGTGGGAGGTAGTAGCCTTGCATGTGACAGAGGCTTCTTTGACTTGAAAGCAAATCTTCGGGCATTTCTTGGCGTTTCTCCATACAACACTCTGAATGAGGCTTCCCCTGAGGCTTGGAGTTTTGTCTGCCAGTGTTATTATTGCATATCCTTTATATCTCCCAGACTTTTCTTATCTGCAAGGATAATATCTCTTGTATTTTATAAACTACCACAGAAGATTATCTCATTTGGTCTTTCATCAGGATTAGGGTTTAATCTGTGTATTGAACTAGGTTGAACTGTAAGCCCTGCTCTCTGTCCTGTAGGGAAGGCAGCTTTACCCTGGGTGCTGTAGAAACTGCTTTTTCTGGGGAGGGGTTCATAGTGTCCCCTCCATCAAGGATTTAGGTAAATGATGCCTGTGAACCAAAGGTAGCCTGCCATTTGTTTTTGCACAGCCATGTGAACTAAGAATGGTCTTTGTTTGTTGTATTTTAAAATGACATAAATAAGGTGAACATGATGGCTCACACCTACTTATAATCCTAACACTTGGGACTCCTGTGAGTTGAGTTCAAGGCCAACCTGGAATACACAGTGAAACCCTGTCTCAAAAAAGTAAAGGTCACCTAGAATGAAAATGTCTCATGACCCGTGGAGATGATAGGAAATCTCAGTGCCCAGAAGTCAAGTTCTTTTGAAACACGGCCATGTTCATTCCTTCCTAGCTTGTCAATACCTGCTTCCACACATAATGGCTGTGTTTGACAGTTGGTGCAGAAGTCTAGTGGCTTACAGAACCTAGTGTCTACTCTCTGGTCTCCATAGAAATGCTTCATCCTTCCCTGTCTTGTGCCCTGACCAGCATGGCACGATGGGATTCTAGCCCATGGGAACCTGGAATGATGAGACAAGAAACAGGAGAGAGACGGGCAGCAGGACGGCATGGCTGATCCAGCTGTGTCTGATGAGAATTCTGTACAGGCTTAAATGGGGGAATGTGCATTGGCCGTGGGGTGGAGGTTGTTAGACCAGAGAGGCCTGCAAGTGAGGCAGCAGGGAGCGTTTGATATGCCATGGGCAGGAGATCTCACCAGGGAGTGCAGGTGTTAAGGAAGCCTTAAGCATTAAGACTGTCTCTCTGGTACTAGGCCATCTGCGGCTTGGGGCAAGAAAGAGATTTACAGTGACCTGGTCCTTTTTATTAATGAAGGAGTAGGGTCTGGACTCCAGGTCTGAGAGTTGGTAGAGGAATAGGCAGTAGGTGTTAGTTATTAGGATCTTAGTGGCAGTATTAAGATGGTTTTGTTCGATGTTGCCCTTATATTAGGGCCCTTACAGGTATGAAATAAAAAGGTGGGACTATCCTTGAGGGGGCCGTGCCTGTCTTAGGTCAGGGGGTCTCATGGACAGGGGTCTCTCTGTCATTGGAGATGGCATAGTATGATGAATATTCCTGTCTACTGGCTATTCCTGTGAGCCCAGGGTTTACTCATAGAGGGCTGGGGAGGGAATGCATTATTCCTAAAGACTGACAATATTTACAAGAGGTCCTAAATAACTATGATCACTCCCAACAGTCTTGGATCATCAAAATCTGAGATTCAGAAAGCGTCAGGTGATTCCACAGACCGTAGAACGAGGTAGAGGGTCCTTAGGAGATGAGTGTGGTAAAGTCCCGGTCTCCATTTCAGTGACTGATCTTATTCACTTTTAGAAGGCTGGTCAAAAGCACAAGCCTAAAGATGTGTTTGACTTTCCTGATAATTCTGATGTCTCAAGCATACTGGGAGAAATGGAGGAAGAAGAGGAACCGTATGAGTCCTTTGGTTAGTACCCCACATTCCTATTCAGGGCTTGGGAACCACGGTGCTTAGCTAACACAAGAGCTGTGCGGTTATCTCCATTGTCTAATTCCTTTTTCCCTTCCTTTGGTCCCTGGATACTGTAAATTTACTTCCAATCTCTATGGATTTGTCTCTTCAGACACTTCAGATAAATAGAATCGTAGAATATATATCTGTTCTGGTGAGCTTCTTTGAGCTAGCTTCACATTTTAAAGGTTGTGGCGTGTATTTACTCATCTTTAAATTTTATGGCTCAGTTGGCTTTGGGTTCTCCTTTTTTTTTTTTTTTTTTTTTTTTTTTTTGATTTTTCAAGACAGGGTTTCTCTGTGGCTTTGGAGCCTGTCCTGGAACTAGCTCTTGTAGACCAGGCTGGTCTCGAACTCACAGAGATCCCCCTGAATCTGCCTCCCGAGTGCTGGGATTAAAGGCGTGTGCCACCACACTTGACCACACTCGGGTTCTATCTTTCTTGAACACTCACGGTCAAGGCTGTGTGTGTGTATGTGAGTGTATGCACACACTTGTTCAGTTTTCTGAGGCATACCCCTAGGACAAGAATTCGTGAGTCTATAGTAGCTCTGGTATTAGCATTCTGACTTTTTATTCTAGCCAGTCTAGTGAGCGTCAAATGATGTCTCGTTGTGGTGATGTATGCATAGAAGGTTGATCTATGACATACAACGTGCCCTTTTAACCAGCTTGAAACATGCAGCTCCATTCACACTGCTGGGTAGCCACCTCACCATCCATCTCCAGAGCTCTCACTTTCCTTAACCCAGACTCTGTAGCCATTAAGCAGCTCCCTGTTCTCACACCCCAGCCCCTGGCCACTGCTCTGTGAATTAGGCGACCCCAGGAACCTCATGTAAGAGGAAGGTGCATGCTTGCTGTCTTAGGGTTACTCTTGCTGTGATGATATGCCATGGCCAGGGTGACCTGGGAAGGAAAGGTTTATTTGACTTACACTGCTCATCACTGTCCGTCATCAAAGGAAGTCGGGACAGGAACTTACAGGACAGACACCTGGAGACAGGAGCTGATGCAGAGGGCATGGAAGAGAGCTGCTAACTGCTCCTCATGGAGCCTGCTTTCTTATGGAACCCAGGACACCAGTCCAGGGATGGCCCCACCCACAGTGGGCTGGGCTGTCCCCCAGCAATCACTAATTAAGAAAATGCCTTACAGGCTTGCCTATAGCCTGATCTTCTGGAGACATTTTCTTACTTGAGGTTCCCTCCTCTCTACTGACTTTAGCTTGTGTCAAGTTGTCATAGATATCCAGCTAGCTTTATAACTGGCTAGTTTCATTCAGCTTATTGCCTTGAGTTCATTACTCTCACCATGCTTCCAAACTGCCCTTTGTCCTGTTGTTTCTGTGTGGTCCTGGGGACTGGCCCAGGATCTTGCATACAGCCCAGGACTGTCTTTGTAAAGCCAATTCCAGCCGAATGGGGTAGCATGCTGTAATCAGAGTCTTTGGGAGGTGGAGGCTGTAAAATCCAAAGTTGAAAGTCATGCTGACCACACACCTGGGCCTCATGAAGCCTGGTCTCAGAACACAGCAGCAACAGGAAGCAGACTCCTCATCCCTCCTCTGTCAATGGGATCTGGTGTGCAGATGCCCGAGTCCCTGCTTTCACTTTTGTGCAGGTACACACAGTAGGATGACTGGGGAGTATGTGGGCCATACCAGTTGTAGGGTTGTATGTTTGAGGACTCGTCAGTGCTATGTTCCACAGCGGCTGCCACGGTCATATCTTACCATCAGTGTGTGCGGCTCAGTTCCTGGCTCAGCCAGACTTTTTTTTCTCTTCTCTCTTTCATTCTCTGTCCCTGGTTGTATGTGAAATGTATCTAATGGCTGTATGTGCGTTTCCATAATGATGTCAGGTGTCTGTCTTCTCCGTGAGCTCTTGATCAGTTGTAAATCATTAGTGAAGCTGTGGAAGTTCAGGATCGATTTATTTGTCTTCGTGCATCCAATGACAACCCCGCCCCTATCTGTAGAATAAATAAATATCATTGTTTAGTCGAGGGCATCATGGAATATATTATCAACCTTAAAACATGAGGTTGACATATTCAGTATTTAAGCTGCTGTTTATTTTGGGAAGAAAGTTTTTAAGTTTGTACATCATGCTAACATTTGAACATGAAAAAAAAAAGGTTGCTTGGCTCTTCTCAGCTCCCTTGCAGCAATCAAGTCTGTTGGGACTGGTCGCCCCTTTTGTCCCTTCAGACTTTCCATCCCTGCCATGTCAACCCTCCCCGCAGCAGCAACCTTAGCATCTCCTTTCACTGCCTCCCACTACGACATCCTCATTAAGGTTCACTTCCACCCCAGTGTGCAGGCTCACAGTCCAGGTGAACGGAGAGGAAGGGAGACAGGCAGGACAGGCACCCTCCCCGGTGCCCTCTGAATGCTTGTGAGTAATGCAGTCAGAGAGGGCCCCTGTAACCCTCCCTGAGCAGTCAGTAACTCCACGTGTGCCGTGGCTCCCACGTGTACGCACGCTGACACATAGTGGCCAGGGAAGACCACGTCAGCTTCCTCTTAATGTCTGTCTTGTGTGACGAGAACATTCCTATTAATATACGCGAGAATATAGATGCAGAATTTGAGAACATGCCTTTAATTTATTTTATTTTTGTTAATCCCAGCACTCAGGCAGAGGCAGGCAGATCTCTGTAGTTCAAGGCCAGCCTGGTCTACAGAGCGAGTCCAGGATAGCTTCCAAAACAATACAGAGAAACCCTGTCTTGAAAAGAAAGAAACAAAGAAAGAAGGAAACCAAAATAAATAAATAATTAGATTTGGATTCCTTTTATTTTGTGTGTATGAAGGTTTTACTTGCATGTATGTCTGTGCCGTGTGCATCCTTGGTGGCTATGGAGACCAGAAAAGGGTATTGGATGTCCTGGAATTGTAGTTACAGAATGTTAAAAGCAGCCTGGTGGGTTCTGGGAATCGAGCCCAGGCTCTTGACAACAGCAACAAATGTTCTCAGCTATCAAGCCACGTCTCCAGTCCCTAAAACCATGTTTTTATTGACAATAAGGTTTATATTTCCTTATGCTGAAACATGAGATAAAAATTACCTGGGAAGTGGCTCGTGTAACAGATGTTGACTTTGTTGGCCATTGAAACAGAGATTGCTTTGCATCCCACTGTCGGGGAACATGACAATGGCCTAGACGGCCGGTGTTAAATCTGCTGTTTTGGTTTTGTAGACCCTCCTCTGCACAGCACTGCTATCGATGTTGAAGAGGAGCTGTCCAAACACAGTGGGTCCTCAGCCTCTCCAGTCACTCATGGAAGAGAAGACGCCAGAAGGTATGGATCCGTCTCAAGCAGTTGGGGTTTTTGCTTTGTTTGTTTTGTTTTGGGAGGGCTACATTTACTATTTTACTTTATGTGTGGGTGTGTACAAGTGAGTGCAGGTGCCTGAGGAATCCAGAGGTGTTAGATCCCCTGGTGCTGGCAACTCTTATGAAGGAAAGCATTCAATCGGAATGGCAGCTTACGCTTCAGAGGTTCAGTCCTCACCATCACGGTGGGACATGGTGTCGTGCAGGCAGACATGGTGCTGGAGAGGGAGCTGAGAGGTCTACATCTTGATATGCAGGCAACAGGAAGTGAACTGAGACACTGGGTGTGGCTTGAACATGTATCACAGCCCACACCACCACAGTGACATGCTTCCAACAACAAAACCCACACACACGAAGGCCAGAGGATGACCCTGGGCGTCTTCCTCTGCCACTTCCTACCTTACCTTCGTGAGACAGTTGGTTGCTGAAGCTGGACCTCATGATTGACTGACCAGAAGCCCTCAGGATCCTCCCGTCTCCACCCCAGTCAGCACTGGGGTTCTAGCCAGCTCTTTCTGTGAGTGGGAGGAAGAGGGGCATTTGAGAGACCAGTCTGCAAGCTGTTTTTCAGGTTATCTCAGAGATGAAGGGAAGTGGAGGCTTGAAGCATAGTCGAGAAGCACACAGTAGGTCTTGACACTGGAAAAGAGCAGCCACCCAGGCAGCTCTGGGATTGCGTCATGGTCACTAAATACATGGGTCAGTGGTGCTGCTACCAAAGGAAGGATTTAGGAAATAAGGCAGCATTTACATATAAGTGCCAAAGAAAGTCAGGGCTGAAGGAGGCCTGGGGAGAGCTTAGCATGTCCCTGGACCCCAAGAGGCTTCAGTGACAGTTGGCACCTTCTCCCTAGATGGTCAGCTGTTTTGTCCTTGGATCTTTCCTTCCCCCCTCTCCCCTTCTCCCTCCCTTCTCCTGGCTAGCTGGTTTGTCACGGAGAGGCCTTGCATCTGAGGCTATCTCTGCTGGTCCAAAGCTTCTGGCTTTAGTCTTGCCCGTGTCTGCCTACCCAAGGCTCCAAATTAGCACTGAGCCTATGTGTTCTACATGCAGCAGGAGGTGACCCAGGGATGGCCCGGTGATGACCTGAGGAGTTGGGACCAGTGACTTGGGTGAAGTGCAGCTCTCAGACTTGATCTCATTGGTCCGTGATTACTCTCTTGCCTAGGGGAAACAGATGTGAGCAGATACAAGAAATCTAGAAAAGTGACAGACCTGCCCATGGCAGCTAGAAAACTCCTCACACCCCACTTATTTTTATGCTGAAGCAATGTGTAGAAAATGTTATGTACAAGATACTGATGGCTTGTTGTTTGGCAGCTCGAGCCCTTCTGAAAAAGAAGCAGGTGGAAGCAAGTCTGCAAAGACCAGTGCTAAAAAGGTGTGTGCTCTTTGTTTGTAAGAAACTGCATATTTCACTTGGAGTAGATGTAAATGGAGTAAAATGTCCTGTAGCAGGATTTTTCAATACAGAAATGTCTTAGAAATTTCTTTTATAACTAAGTAAGTTTTAAAAGAATTATATTCATTTATTTTTCGTATGTATGTGTGTATATATGCATGTACATGATACAGTGGACAACTTCTTCACTTCTACCCTGTGGTCTTAGGGATTGAACTCAGACTTGGTGGCAAGTGCCTTTCCCTGCTGCACTACGAGACTGGCCCAGGAAGAATGGTTTTGTATCCAAAGTGTTGTGAAAGACTTCTCAGCTTTCTGCGTAACCCAGTCAGTTTCTGTAGCATTCTGTGTGTTCAGGTTGTGGTTGACAAAGGCAGAGAGAATTGGGTGGCAATCTAATTATGCTGCCTTCTAGATGGTATGCTCAGTTTTGATGTTTATAAATGAGACATGGGAATTCTGTAGTTCCCTAACACTGGGAGAATCGTAAGATTTGAGTTTTCTAAACTTAGCAGCGCTGTTTCTTCGTAGCCACGGAGAAAGCTGGAGCCCATCAGCGATGAGTTTGAGAGCTCTGAAGATGACGTGAGGAGGAAAGTGGGGTCCACAGAGAGAGCAAGGGCTCGACAGCACCAGGCTGCTCCTGCAGCCTCTGCAGCACCCCCCTCAAGGCCAAGCAAGCGTGCGGCTCCTGAGAGGGCAAGGGCCCACAGCGCTCAGCCCTTGGCTGCGGAAGAGACTCGAGCAGTACAAAGACAGCTGGTGAGCAGCGATTGCCATCCGCCCCTCAGAGAGAAAAGTTCATTGAAAAGACTGAGAAGGGCTGGAGAGAGGGCTCAGCTCTCCTTGAGGACCCAAGTTCCATTCCCTGTGCCTGCATCAGGAGGCTTACAACTGCTTGTAACTCCAGCTCCAGTGGGATCTGACACCTCTGACCTCTGTGGGCACCTGCATTCGAGTGTCATAACCCCTCCCCCACATGCACATCAGTTTGCCTTTAATCCCAGCACTTGGGAGGCAGAGGCAGAAGCAGAGGCAGGTGGATCTCAGTGAGTTCAAGGCCATTCTGGTATACAAAGTGAGTTCCAGGATAGCCAGGGCTGTTACACAGAGAAATCCTGCCTCAAACAAACAAACAAAACACAACAAAAGTGATTTTAAAAATAAGTTTAAGCTTTTATTATGGAAAGCAATGTTTCTTTTAGAAAGCCTACATCTAGAAAGAAAGATACATTCATGTACAGTTCCATAACAACATCTGTGTCTGGTGTGTGTTCCACAGTCTTTCCATGGCGTCAGTTTAACCAGAGCTTGCACTCTGTTCATGGGTACCCATAGTATCTATTGATGGGAATGCAATTTGGATGCTCTGATGAGTTTATTAGTTATTTCTTTGATGTTTGAGATTGTAATATGATCACATCATTTCTCCCTTTTCCTCCCTCCAAACCCTCCCATACATCCCCATTGCTTTTTCATATACATGGCCTCTTTTGTGTGTGTGTGTATGAGAGAGAGAGAGAGAGAGAGAGAGAGAGAGAGACACTTCCTTAGTGCGTAAGCATAACCTGCACAGTGATGGATTTCTTTGTTTCAGAGTCTTTATATACACCCTTGATTTGTTTCCTTCTGAAAAAAAAATCATAATTTGTTTTGAGGTGATTGAAATATAGTATCTTTTGGTTCATATTCTTATATATTGTTTTATTAACTCATTTGGTTGAATGTTTTAGATAAATGATCCTGCTTATATTGGTACCAAAGATGTACCCTCATGAATTATATATGTAACCATGAATGTCTTCATAGGTATTCTTTTTTTTTGTTTTTTGAGGCAGGGTTTCTCTGTGGTTTTGGAGGCTGACCTAGGACTACCTCTTGTAGACCTGCCTCTGCCTCCTGAGTGCTGGGATTAAAGGTGTGCGCCGCCACCACCCGGCCATCATAGGTATTGTTTTGAGAGAGATGGCGATTAGACATAGAGGGTTATATAAGATGGGTGAAACAGCTATAACACCAGTCATGGCCACCAGAAGCTAGAATGGACAAAGAACGCCCTCCCCCTGGCTGGGGGCAGGGTGGGGGGACGGGACAGAATGGGGACATGACTACCCGTATCTTGACTACATCACTTGGGTCCCACAGGATATTGTCTGTTAAGACTGCTGCTCCCTTCCTAGACATGATGCCAACGGCTTCGGTCTTTGTTTCCTAAACCATTGTCTGGATTGTCTTTGGGCCAGTTTCTCTCCTGGTTTTTCTTGACTCTGGGTCACATGTCCTTATGTGTTTGCTTTAGTCTAGGACTTGAAATGTGTAGTCCATGTTGTTTAGGGATGTTGAGCTCTGTGTCCTGTCCTTCTGTGAGTGGCCATCCCCACAGACTCAGCCTGGCATTTGCCTGGTGTTCTGAAGTTAGAGGCTTGATTTTATCCTTTGCTAGGGTGAGAGTGTAGAAAGCCTAAGGCATTTTCCCAGCATCTAACCTAGTCAGACTCCACCTCTCTATTGTTTATTATTGCTCACAACGATTTACCACAAAGTTAGTTACACACACACACACACACACACACACACACACACACACACACACACACACACACACACACACGATTATCATGTCATAGTTTCTGTAGGCTGGAGTCCAGCTTCAGTTTTGCTGACTCCTCTGCTCAGAGTAGTAGAAGGCTGAAATCAAGGGCTGTCCAGGACTGACATCTCAGGTGAGCCTTTGATTTCTCCTTAAAGAGTTTTCAAGTTGTGGATGGGTTTCACTTCATTGAGACTTTAAAAGTAAGGTCTTTCTTTCTGGAGGTTGAGGTTGCTCTCAATTCCTGCTGGTACCATTATGTGACCCTTGAAGTATGGTGCCTACAGCTGCAGAGCCAGCCCCAGACTCTCCAGATTAAGATAGCAGTGCCTTGCCCATAGATACAGTCCAGGGAACAGACCCTGCCCTGTTCACAGGCACTGCCGGCACTCAACAGGGAGGGAGTTTTGCCTGCCATCACCTTGGAATTCTTATCACAGCTTTTGTGCCCTTTCCAGGTGGAACCCATCAGGAGCTGGCTTTAGGCTTTGTCAGGAAGGTGGGCCTCACACCGACTAGGGAGTTTCTCAGCGTGTTTTCATGCTGTCCTCTCTGTTAGACGCGTTCCCTTCACCATTCCCACAGATGTAGACTGCGCCACCCCAGCGCGCTGTGTGGTTTCATGCGCTGGAACCCCTTGGCCTAAGGATAGCTCTTCAGTTTTTCCTAAGAACTAAATAAGAACTGTAGTTAATACCAGGTGATGGTTTGCTAATGCTGTTGTCTTAACCTTTACATTTTAAAGAAAAAACTTTCCTAAATGGATATACTATTTTTTAATTTTGTGTTTTGGTAGAAAACTCCGAAGAAAGTGAGGCTGTCTCCCGGCAGAAGGAGGAAATCAAGAAGTGAACCCACAGACTCCGGTACAGAGTGGCGCTTGGTGCCTTGTTACTCATATCTCTAAAAATCCCTATTTTTAAGTTGTCTTAGTTGTTGAAAGAGCAAACTTTATTTTTGGTGGGGTGGGTGTTGAGATAGTGTCTCTCTGGATAGCCCTAGCTGTCCTGGTACTCACTATGTAGACCAGGCTGGCCTTGAACTCACAGGTATCCACCTGCCTCTACCCCCTGAGTACTGGAGCTAAAGGCATACACCACCATCGTGGCTAAAAAGTGCCCCTTGATTAAGAAATTATGACTTTGGAGTAGCATTTTTCTTTATCATTTTATTATGAATTATTTTAAAAAAGGAAAACTAATACATGTATATAATATAGTTTGATAAAATCCAGCCCCATTCTCTCCCCTTTCCTTCTTACTTGTCTGAAGTTCCCAGAAGCTGCATCAGGGAGTTTACAACAGTTCCAGGGTATCTGTGCCCTCTTCTGGCCCCCACTGGTACCTGCATGCACTCACACAGACACACACACATTATAAAGATAAACCTTAGAAAAGGCCTTGTGTAGGTAGAATTACATGCGACAGTCTATTTGGACATAGATTCATTCTGCTGTGAATCTGTCCTTGTTCATTACAGGGCTATTGTAATAAAGCCTGATGGCCCCTGCCCCCTTTTTGTTTTCCCTTTCTTTCGCTTTTTATTTTTATTTATTGAGCTCCTGGCCTTGCCCATCCTGGGAAAGTGCATTGAACAACAGCTACAGCCTCCTTATGAACTGCCTCCTGCCCCATGGACATTCTAATGCACAATTTCATCAACATGCTTTTATTTGTCTTGGAGGAACGGAGAGGAAGTTGTTGAGTCATAAGATAGATCTATTCCAACTTCCCAAGTCATTGCAAACTCCTACTATATGCCAAAGTTTAAAATGGTACTAAACATAGAAATGCCGTGTGAACAAGTATAATAGTTTAACGTAGCTGAAAGAGCTCCACTCTGCAGCACTGCCATGTAGACGCTGTCTCAAAAGGCACGCCATAGCGGCAGGGAGGGAGAGCAGTACACAGGAAGAACTGAGCGGGTTTAGCTGGTTCCACGTCCTGGTAGGACTACTTTTGTTCAGGGTTCAGAGTCCTGGACCTCGAGACAGCTCACAGATAATGATTCTATTAAACTGACATGTGCTTAATATTCTAGGTGCTTCTGAAAGCATGCATATTTGGTGTCTGGAAGGAAAGAGACGTGGCGACATCATGGAGTTGGATGTTATCCTGTCTGTATTTGAGAAAACCTTCCTGGAGTATAAGTAAGTCCTCTAATGTTGTAATACGTGGGCCTGATTAGTTGTGCTTAGAGTACCACGGTGTTCATCCTAGTTTTCAGTATTATTACATTTAAGATGCCTTTACATTTTCATTATAATCCTCCTACATACATTGGTTATGCTAGTTTCAAGTTATTGAATCATCTATTCTAGATGTTCCTCATAGACTTTAATCTAGAAATAAGTGTTTCCTCCAGTGCTGTTGGTGTTTCTCAGTCAGATAGTTATGTCAGGTATGGCCACACCTCAGTCTCTGCCATCTCCCATGGAAGCAGGCATGGGGGAGAGCCCCGGCTACACAGGCTCCATCTCTCATGGCAGAGAACAGCTCCGGGTCAGGCCCACCAACCAGCTCCCAAATCGTGACATGGACACTCAGCTCATGTTTGTCCCACTAGCTCTTCTAACTTAAATTAACCTGTTTCTGGTCCTCTGTGTTCTGCCTTGGGGCTTTTACCTTCTTTTATTCTGTATGTCCTACTCCGTGTCTGGCTGTCTGGAGACTGCCTGGCTGGCCCAGGGCTTCTCCTTCATTTTCTCCCTCATTCTCTCTCCATTCTCCCTTTGAGCCCAGATTTCTCTCTGCCTGCCAGCCCCGCCCATCCCTCTAGTGCCTGGCTATTAGGCATTCAGTTTTCAGTAGACCAATCAGGTACCTCAGGCAGGCGAGGTAAAACAGCAGTTCATCTTTACAAAAGTAAACAAACGCAGCAGGAGCAAATGGAAGACATCTTCACACAGTTAAAGAAATGTTCCACGGCACCCTCTGAGCAGCATCAAGATAGTTACTGCTCCTTTGGTTGTCTCCTCCAGCCCGGGGTTTGCTGGGGAAAGTTGGAGAAACAGCTGAAGCACTGAGGTCTCACTCATTTTCCTCCGGCACGAGTCCAGCTTTGGTTTTCCCTGAAGAGAGTGATTCATAAAATTTTAGATAATAAACAAAAACATTTTAAAATGCAGCCTGGCAGAGTGGATCTGAGAGACATGGACTAAGTCACACAGCTGTGAACGCATCTGGCTTGTCTGAGAATAAGACCCACTGGGACAGCAGTCAGTGAGTCAGAGAGTAGGAAGGAGATGGGGTTGATGCAGGTGGGCAGGGACTACATGCTGGGGGGAGGGGCTGTGGAGGCAAGGGGCTTCCACAGTGCTGGAGGAGGGGCTGTGGAGGCCCCTTATGCTGCCGTGGGAGATTTGCCTCTGAAAGGAAGGGAGAGGGTGGCATGGTAATGTCTAGGAAGGCAGGCTTACATCCAAGGAGGGATGTCCCATCCTGCTGTGAACCAGTGTTGGGCCCCACCACTGACTTCTGCTCGTGGACTTAGTAGCTATAAGGGGAAGGTGTGAAATCCAGCAAACTGCTCTCTTCCGCTCATGGGTGGAGTCAATGGATGAAATTTTTCCACTGCTCTAGAAGAATGCTGGTAGACTCCAGAAGCATCTATGCCCCACTGTCATTTCCTTCCTGTTGTGATAAAATGCCCTGAGAAGCATCTCGGGTGGCAAAGGGGGTTTATTTTAGATCACAGTTGTGGTCCATCACTGTGAGGGAACTAGCTGAAAACTTAAAGCACATATATTCACAGCCCAGAGCAGACAGAAGGAATGCAGACCAAGCTTGCTAACTCAGCTGACTTTCTCTATTTTATACAGCCCACGCCCCCGCCCCCACCCATGACACGGCACCACCCACATTCAGGGTGGGTCTGCCCACCTCAATCGCCTGCCTCTACAGGAAATACCCCTTGCTGGCATGTCCCCAGGACATCCTCATCAAGACTGTCCCTGACACGCTCTTCCCAGCTAATTCTAGACTGTGTGGTTGACAAAACTAACCATCCCATTGTGTCTACCCACCCTCCTCATCCCAGACTCTGTCCTCTGCCCTCTCCCCTCGTTCCCTGCTGCCACCATGCTAAAGCTGCCAGCCATGATGATATCTACCCAGGAAACCCATCCTTCAGTGAACAGAGAAATGCTTAGTCACCCCTGTCACCCCGCAATGGTGCTGCTTTAGTTATCCCAATAGCTGAGTATGCAAGTGATTTTTTTATTGTTAAAACCCGTAACAGAATATACCATGGACCATGTTTTAAATGCAGAATGGCTATCTGTACTTTGTGTAGCACACTTCTAGAACTTACTCATTTTGCAGTGAAATTCTGCAACCATCAAAACAGTTGACCACTTTCTTCTCACTGCAGCAGATACTTTTATGAATATTGGTGTATTTTGGTTCCTCCTAGTTTTCTGTATAGATAGCTGGAAGTGCAATTGCTGGACCACATGGTACATATATTTTTAACAGTCTCTAATGTTTATGGCCCAGTAGATAAGAGGGCTTGCTGTGCAAACATAAGGGCCCAAGTCTGGATCCCAGCATCCACATAAAAAGCTAGGTGTGGTTGTGCACGGCTGTAACTGCAGTGGCGTGCAGGGTAGAGACAGGAGGGTAGCTGGGGCTTGGGGCTGTCCTCCAGCCCAGGGCCTGGTTCAGTGGGAGACCAGTCTCAAAGGACTACGGTGGAGAGTGCTGGAGCAGGGCACCTGCTGCCCTCTGGCCTCTGGGAAAGCAAAACCGTGTGCATACATAGCTCCCCACCCCCACATAACAACTTCACCTCTTCGGATATTTAATGCACACGTGTGGATGTGGATGTAAACTTGTTCTGTGGTTTTCATTTGCTTCCCTCATGAATAGTGTGGCAGAATATCTCTGTGTACATGGTAGCCATTTCTTTATCTTTGGAGAAATGTTTTTCAAGTGTTTTGCTCATCTTTTAAGTTGGATTGTCTTTTGCATGTGGTTGAGTAATTTTTAAATATATATGAGAAAAAACTATAGGCTTACATTGCTATCTTAGGTATTTAAACAATATGTGCCAAGCTATATATACTTATGTATCAAGTAAATAAAATGTATCCTTCAGAATCCTTTATGATACTAGTTTTTGTTTTCTTAAAACAATTTACAGACAAAGAATAGAATCTGAAAGATGCAGTCAAGCTGTCAACAAATTTTACTTTAAGATTAAAGGAGAACTCATCAGAATGGTAAGTTCACTGACACATTGCTTAATTTTAGTTCTTTGTTATTTTTTTAAGGCAGGGTTTCTCTGAATAGCCCTGACTGTCCTGGAACTCACTCTGTGGACCAGGCTGGTCTCAAACTCAGATCGGTCTGGCTCTGCCTCTCGAGTGAGCATTGGAATTAAAGGCCTGTGCCACTGTGCCTGGCTGCTCCAAATTTTTTAAGCTAAAATTTAGAAAGTATCCTATAGTTGTAGAAAAGTTTGCATTTGCTGGCTTTGCGGCAATAAACACATGAGAACTACCCTTACTTCTTTTTGGGGTGTGCAGATGTGAAATTGCATACGTGCATGTATGTGGAAGCCAGAGGCCCATGTCGAGTAACTTTCTCAATCACTCTACAGCTTATTTGTTGAGACAGGGTCTCACAGGAACCTGAGCATCGGTTTTGCTAGGCCGGCCAGTGAGCTCCAAGGAGATCTCCCCCAGCACCTGTTAAAGCCAAATGTACAGTGCTGGGGATCTGAACTTGGGTCCTTAACTTTCGGGACAGGCAGTTTAGCAACTGGAGTCTCCCAGCAGCTGCTCACGTGAAACTTGAAATACTTAACTTTGGGAAATTAGACATGCGTGTGTTTTTGCTGTCGTAGCTTAAAGAAGTCCAGGTGCTGAAGGCTCTGAAGAGGAAGAACACCAAGGTGAATGCCAGGTCTCAGTGAGTCACGGGTAGGAGCGGGGGAGTGCACACCTGCTTTGGTTTATAACCCGACACTTTGTGTAAGGGCTTTATGGTTTGGGTCCACTTTTTATTTGATTTTGTAATGTTAACATAGACTAAGGGATGGGGATCTCTGCTAGCCTGCTGTCATTATGATTTAGTGCCCAGGATAATCAGCTTATAAAGAGAAAGATTGTTTGGGCTCCCTGTTGGAAGTTCTGGTCCATGGCTAGATGGCTCCGTCACTTTTGGGGCCTAATTGTGAAATGAAACTGCTAAGGCAGTCAAACCAGAAGCAAGGAGGGTCCATCGTCCCCCAGGCTCCAAAGCTGCCCACTAAGCTGCACCCATCTGCCTGTTCCTCTGTGCCTCCGGTACCTAGGACAGTGTAAGCAGAAATGTTGAGACTTGTGCTGTTAACCTAAGTAAATTATTGTATTGCTCAGATCATTTCCAACATGGAAAAGAAACGGCAGCGTTTGATTGAAGTCCAGGATGAACTGCTTCGGTAAGATAGCGACCTACTCCTGCTAAGAAGTCACCTAAAGGGCTGTAGTTTGTCACTTCGGGGAGTGCTGTTTGCTGCCGTGACCTGACCCACAAGAAGCTCCAGGTTTCCTTTGCACTTGCTCAATGGCAGCAGCTTGTGGCACCCCATTGCAGAGCCTTAGAAAGAACACAGATCAGTCTCCCAGCATGCCTGGTCTGGCCTCAGGCAGCCTGATTATAGATTTAATGAGTACACTCTAGGATTAGACCGCCTGGAACTTGAATCAGGCTCTACCGCTGACCGCAGTCCAGGGTGAGATACTGACTTCCCCAGTACCTCAGGCCCCTGTTGTGTATATGGGTATAATTGTGTTGTTCCTCGGGAGAGGCGGTGAGTAAGCCTAGGCAGGGTGACTCATGCAGACAGTTCTGCTTATGTTGTTTGCTTGTTTGACTTTTTTCACAGATGGTCTTGCTGTGTAGCCCTGGCTGGTCACTGGCTTAGTTACTGTTGAGATATACACCCTGCAGTGACACTCATGTCAGTCCACGTTCTGAGGTCTAGGGTCGGGGCAGTCCCCATGCACTGGTTAGGAACACTAGTGCACTCGAGTCTGGCAGCCTGTCTGTACATTTTGACCTTCTGAGGTGTGGAGCAGGGCTGACTGTGCTCTCCACTCTTAAGAGACTTTAAAAGAGCTTGGATAGCTGAGGATGTGGCTCAGTGGTAGAGCACCAGCTTGGCATGAGCAAGACCATGGGTTCAATTCCCAGGACCACATGGGTGTGGTAGCAGGAAGCTTGAGCAGAAAGGTGGTATGTTATATCAGCAAACACTTGAAATATTATTTAAGTATTAGGTTTTAAAGTGACCAACTCGGGATTTTGAGACAAATTAGTTGTCTATTCCATTGTTTACAAGTTTAGTCCATGTGAGGCACTAGAAAATGTGTTTATTAGCTTTGGCCAAAACATGGAAAATTTGGGTAATATAGTAATAATAATGATGGTAACAGTTCACAGCTTCCTTTATGACAAGGGCACTTTCCTGAATGCTTCATTTGGTCATTCTTAGCCATGATTCCAGGAGGTAGGTTCTTGTGTGTCCCTTTAATAAGGCTGCTTTGTTACACTTGGCGTCAGTGTGAGACTGTGGAGATGTGTTGGGACTGGCCTCTTTAGTTTTTCCTCTAGATGTAATTATAGTAAGACAAACATTTCAAAAAGGCTTAGTAAGGAAAAGCATAGTATGGTTTTAATTTCGCACAGGAGAAGGCTAACGCACAGGGGAGTCACCTCACCCCAGCAGGTCCCACCCTTAGGAAAGAAAGACAGGGAATGCACCTCTGACCCCCCCCCCCACCATGTCAGTCTAGAGACTGCTGCAGGAATGTTGTAATTGTTCAGTGTGAAAATAATTTTTTCATGTTTTCCCCCCCCATCAGTCTCCCCAAGTCCCCACAAATCCAATGCCTACTTCTTTCTCTCTTTAGGAAAAAAAGTAGACAAATGAAAACAAACAAGAGAGAAAACAGAAACAGCACGAGAAACACACACTCTTCTTACACTTGAGAAGTTGTTCTGTTTTTTTGCAAGCTGGCAGCCCTTCCTCCTCCCCCACCATAAGTCACAAGTTATTCCTTTTCTTTAGAGGTAAAGAAACCCAGCCCCAGAGAGGCAGCAGTTGGCCCAAGGTCTTGTATCTTTCTATCCAGGTCTTGTGGCAGTTTTTCTGCTGATTTTATTTGACCTTGGAAGATTGAGGAAATTTTAATAAGAGGAACTTTCTGCATGGCCTCCTAGTTAAACTGTCATGCTGGCTACTCCTGCTGTTAGCCAAATTCATGTTCAATCCAGTAATTCCCAGGGCTTGAATGACTAGGTGGATTTCAGCATCTGTGAGCCATGTTCACCATGGGTGTCACTGCTAATTGTATGTCACAGTTGAGATGAACGGAAACGCAGAATCTTTTACATTCATAATCTGAGAGGCAAGCACAGGTCACCTCGCCCACCCTCGACTTTGCCTTCGTCACCCAGGATGCTCAGGCACTAGAGACTGCTGGACTTTATTATATGTCATTTATGTGGGAGAAAATGCTTTTGTTATTTTTGGTTTTGGTTTCTGTTCTTTATAGTATGGGCATTTTAATATTTTCAGTTCATGAAGAATACATATTAATTGTGTTTTGCACAATTTTCTTAAGATTTAAATTTTTTGTGTGTAGATTAGAACCACAACTGAAACAACTACAAACAAAATATGATGACCTTGAGGAGAGAAAGTCGTCACTTAAGAATTCCACGAATTTCTTATCTAATTTAAAACAGCTGTACCATGACTATTCAGAAGTTCAAGAGAAAGAGCCAAAGGAAAAGGAGAAGGTGAGTCCCACTCACTTTTACCGTGCAGCAGATGCTGGCAATCGCTCGTAGAGTGCCAGTAGCTTTGAGAAAGCTAAGGACAGCGTTAGTGTAAGTCATAGAGATCACAGCATCAGTTCTCAGCTACTTAATGAAGAGAAGCATCGTGCTGCTCCCGAGTTCCCTCAGAGAACTGCACTGGGGGCTGGTGTGTACTATGCACGACTCTGCTTTGTTAGTTCCCATCAGGACTCAGTGGAGTTGTAAAGACGGCCGCCTTATTGTTCATGCTTTTGTTGCTGTTTCACAGAAATGGTAGGCGTGGCTTGAGAAACAGTAAAACACAGTTGGGAAATTGTAGCTATTATGTTAATCCACTTTGAAGTAGCTCCTGGGACTTTGCTATGACACCCAATTAAGACTAAGAGAAACGTATGCTAAAATTTTGTAAGTTTGCATACCTAGTAGAACCCGAAAAATATGACTATGCTAATAGAATTGTGTACAGAAAGTGATACATAATTACACACAGTGTCTCTGTGCACCTAATGATCAGGTTTGTAATCTTCACCTCTAAATTCAACTTTAAGATCTGGCATTGATCTAAGTTTTCAAAATGTACATAAAGTTTATTTTAGGGATTTGATTGCTAACTTTGTGACATTTACCTAATCTATACACAGTCCTTGACTAATCACTCTTTGCACATGGTAGGCAAATGCTGTCCCTGATCTACCTCCAGGCTTGAAACCCAAGCTGCAGTAACTGTGGGATATACTGCTCTCACAAATGAGACTGTGTACCTTCAGTGCCTGTGGTACTGTTACTGTTGGGCACCTATCCTTTTCCTGTGACATCTGGATGTCACAGCTCTTCCCAAATGAAACCCACGGCTCCAAGTGAATTCTTCCCACTCCTTAGAGAGCGGGTGCTTGAGGTGTCTTGTGCGTAGGTGATCCTACATCTGTTTAGCTGAATTCCCCATTAACATGGTCTCCATGTGGCAGAAAACAAATCCCATTGTTATGAGGGGCTCACCACTGTCTGGCTGCTTTTCTGCTCAGTTTTCATCACTGAGAAAAATACCTTGGAAACACATTTGTCAGCAAGCTGCCAAACGTATGGTAATTTATTTTAAGGGGAATTTAATTTCCCTCAGATAGTTTGCAAAAGGAAGTTCGGCTTTGTTAATTATTTCCAGGTCATGAGTTGGATTTAGAATTTTAACTTTGTCCTTACATTTGGATTGGCAACCTTCAAGGCTTAATTGATCCAATAAGTAACTTTCCTAAATGATACCTTTGAGATTATTTTGCTATAGACTAACTCATTCCATTAGTTCCTGCAGTAAAAGGAAACTTGCTCTAGACATTTGTTTTAAACAGTTGAGATCAAGTGGACCCCACATGCCATTATTAGTCATGAAGATGCTGCAGGTCTTTTGAGTCACCTAGTCTTGCCTGGGGTAGAGAGCTCTTTCTCCAGTTTTGTTGAGCGGTTCTGTGAGTGTTATTATATACGACATCTTCTGAGAAGATGGGATGCCTAACGCATGGTTTCCTAATGAGCCTAGTTAAACAAAAGGAGAGAACTAGTTGAAAACTATCACGATTGGCCTTGGTCATAGGCCAATCAAAAAAAAATTATGAAAGTATCACTATTTGTGAGTCTAAATAGTTTTTTCCATCAACAGTATGACTCATCTAGCCTTCCAGCTCTATTGTTTAAAGCAAGAACGATTCTGGGAGCCGAAAACCACCTAAAAACCATCAACTACCAGCTGGGGAAGCTCCTTGAGCAGGAATGAGAAGACCATAAGCTGAGTCAGTCTCCTGCTGCCATCTCTCCTGAAGCTGCACTCTGGACAACCAAACTTCCTCAGCAGAATTTATTACCATTTTGTCATTCAGACTAGATAACACCAGTTCAACTGTCCAACCATTCAGAAGCCATAGTTATAGTTCTGATTATTGGTAATAAAGTCCAATCTCTTGACATGTTAGTCATCACTGGGCATAAGAGTTCTAACCTGCAGTAAACTTTGTAAATAATATCAGTGCAAGCATAGGATGGTTAATTAGGAGCATCTACTGAACTATGTCAAAGTTAATCTTCAATAAAACTGGCTCAGGTAAGAAGCAAATTATTAGAAAACTAAGTGATAAGACAGTTACTATATAAATAAGTTCAATAAGTTAATACGATTTGGTTTGTTATGCTGTTGGGGATTAAATACAGGACCTTGTCATGGTAGGTAGTAGTATTCTACCCTTGAGCTATAACCCCAGCCCTAATTTAACATTTATGTCATAAATCTTAGGCTTTAGGCAAATTGCAGCCTCATTATGGAAGTCCTGTTCACGGCTGGCTACTCTGTAATGCTTCTATAATTAGTTCATCAGGAATATCGTCCATTGCACTCTTGTAACTAAGAAGACTCCTGTCTGCAGCATCAGCAAATTCAGCATCTTCTGTAGCTTCTAAGAAGCAGGCATCATCTTTGTCGTCCCAGTCAGCATCAGAAAAGCCTCCTGGTAACAGGTTACTGGATGGTGGGTTTTGAGAATTCTTGGTCAGTGAGTTGCTGGTTTCACCTGCTTCTTCAGGAGTGAACTCCTTTATTTTTATGGGAAAGAGGATAGGGAAATATTATGTATTTCACTACACACTCCAAATATGTTAAGGGATGATGTAATAACCATGAGGAAGGGTAAGTTAGCTCAAATGTGGTTGTTTTTGTAGTGCAGACATGCTTGAAACCCCAGGCTGGAACTCCTGCAGTTCATGGCAGATACATTTCAATATCCCCAGAAGGGCTACAGCAAAGGTAGATGTAAATTCCTAAAAGGGAGAAAAGCTGGAAAATTTTTCTTTCTTCTTGAGACAACCTTGGCTATACTAGAACTCTGTAGACCAGGCTAGCCTCGAACTCACAGAGATCTGCTCACCTCTGCCTCCCAAGTGCTGTGATTAAAGGTGTGTGCCACCACCAACTGGCAAAAATATATTTCTAAGTTAACAACAACCACTCCCTAGACCCTATGTATAAAAGCCAGGCATGTAATCCCAGTGCTGGGGAGATAGAGATGGATCCCTGAAGCTTGACGGCCATTCAGCCAAGCCTGGAGGGTAACTACCAGCCCAGTGAGAAGCTATCTCAAAAGAAAAGGCTTCTGAGGAAAGATACCCCAAATTGTCCCTCTGGCCTGTGTGTGTATGCTAATGCACACATAAGACACACGAATTCATATTAAAAGAGAAAAAAACAAGGGAGAAATGGCAATGATCACTTGAAAGGCACTACTTCTACACTTCTAACATGTTATCTATAAATAATAAAAATGTAAGTTATGTTCAAATAATGGTAATATTGTATACCAAGAATACGTTCATTTGGCATTTTTGGTGTATTAGAAAATAAAAGTATTCCACCAAAATAAATCACTAGCTGTGGATGAAGCCCCAGGTTCAGTTCCCAGCACTGAAGAAAAAAAAAAACACTCAAAAACAATGATACATTGCTCTCTAAAGAGATAAATTAAGATTTTTAATCTGTTCCTACTTATTTCTAGCACTTTAAAACCTAGCAGTCTGCATGCTAGAGGGCCTCAGTTCTTTTATGTCCAGCTCATGGGGTTTTCACTTTAAACTTGGATGCTGGGTCTGGAGAGAGAGGTCAGTGGTCAAGGGGCTGCTTTTCCAGAGGACCCAGGTCCAGTCCCCAGCACACACATGTTGGCTCACAACCATCTGTAACTAGTTCTGGGGAGCCCAATGCTGTCTTCTGCTTCCTTGGGGAACAAGCACACATGTGGTGCAGACATACACCAAATCAAAACAGCCGTGCACATAAAATATTTTCAGAAGAGACGTTGAATACAGGTTTCAAGGGATGCACGTCTTTTAGAATATAAAGTTAAACACTTGTTGGGCATGTAGCAGGTCATTTATTCTAACCATGGCAATCTGAAAGAAGGTGCTGGTAGAGGTGGGTTTTTTAAGGTGAAAAATAAAAAATTAATTCTAATGACAAAAAAATACTAAGATGTCATAGAAAAATGGACACAGATCATTAGAGAAACACAGATAACTTAAAAAGAACACAAGGTCATTATTAAACACAAATGATTAGAAAGTGGCTGCCAGCAGAGCCGGCAAACTTGGTACCAGGTCCTTTCATCAACATCTGTACAAGCTCAGTTCCCAGGACTCCATGGAGCAATTTGGAAAGAGCTAGTAATGAAAACGTTTGATATTTCAGGGAAGAAGTCTGTCTCCACGCAGTACACAAAGTGAGCACACACACAAGTAGAAACGATGGAAGATTTATGCTAAAACCTTTGCATCAGTTTGGCCAAGTTATGTGTGAAGCTTTTTTTTAACCTTTTTACTTTGAAAAAAAATTGTGTATATGTGTGTGCCACACGCATGCAGGAGCTTGTGGAAGTCAGAAAAGGACACTGGACCCATGGAACTGGAGTTACAGATGGTTGTGAGTCACCATGTGGGTGCTGGGGACTGAACCCAGTCATTCTACAAGAGCCACAAGTGCTCTTAATCATGAACCATCCAGCCCAACCCACTTTTGCTTTTTATGTATTGTCTATTTTTTTAAAACACTAAATGTGAATCATTTAGATTAATGTTGGTTTGGCAAGCTAATATCCAAAACCAAATTGCCTTTGACACAGTTCTATAGATAGAACTTCAACCTACAGATACTGTTGGTTAAACAGACACTAAGACAAGCATCTTGGTTTACTGCATAAAGCAAAATATGCCTGGGACTATACACTTGATTGATTATATGTTTTATTGCCTAGTAGTAATAGAAATGAGAGGCCCTGAAGTGGGAAGATGATTGTGTTTAAAAGCTATCTGGACAGCATAGTTCACTTATGCTATGTACCAGAACCCAAGGCCAGGAGCTACACTCACCTCTTTCAGAAGAAACAGGAGACTTACTTCAGTGGGTAATGGAAAACCTGGGTCAAAAAAATAGAATATTTTTAGGTGGATATCTAATTTTCACTTTGTGGTAAATATAAAATTAATAACTCACAGTTAGATTTGAAGTTTTGTGCTTTACATACTGGGTCATGGCACTTTTGATACCAAACTTCACTTTTCAGATCAACCAGAATCCTTTATATATAAAGAAAAGAAAGCATTAATACCCATACTGGATAGAAAATAAAGTTCAAATGTATGCCATAATTTGACAGAGATGTGCCTACAACTTAAAAGATGGATAAAAATTAAAAAGCTAAAGGATAAAAATAAGCATGCCTAATCAAAAGAAAACCGGTTGCTAAAAAACACTCACGGGGCTGAGAAGGATCCATGGGAAAGTGCTGGTCTTGCATGCACAAAGCTCTGAGTTCAAACCTCAGAACCCACATGAAAACAAGGAGACTAAGGAGCCGGCTCAGGAGGGAAAGTGCTTGTTGCCGAAGGATGAAGACCTGAGTCCAGATCCCAAAAACCCACATAAAAACTGGGGTACATCTGTACAACTGGGAAGGGGGAACTCAGAAGATCCCAGGAGCTAGCCAGCCAGCTAGCCTGGCCAAAATGAGCTCCAGGTTGAGCTTAGAGGAAGACATGATATTAATCTCTAGTCTGCACATGTACATGCATGGATGAGGGCACTTGCACACGCATCTGTATGCACAAATACACAGTAAACATAATACACAAATTTTTTTAAAGGCCACAGGTGGTGGCACACTCTTGTGATCCCAGTGGTGGATGTGGAAACGGGTAGATCTCTGGAACTCACTGACCAGCCAGCCTTGTCTAATTGGTGAGATCTAGGCTAGTGAGAGACCCTCTTAAATTTTGTCTTCTGACGTCCACATGTGCACTTACTTGCATGTGCACACATCAATATATACACTATAAAAATGCACTTCTCTTCTGAGCAGGGAAAAGAAAGTGACATGTTTCTCTAGGAAGATCCAGAAGTTTTCAAGTTATATCCACCAAAATAATATAGCTTCAAAATACACAAGCAAGGCATGCAGGGCGTGGTGGTACACACCTTTAATCCCAGCACTCGGAGGCAGAGGCAGGCAGATAGATTTCTCTGAGTTCACGGTCAGCCTGGTCTACAAAGCAAGTTCTAGGACAGCCAGGTCTACACAGAGAAACCCTGTTTCAAAAAACAAACAAAAACCAAGAGGGACAGCACTGTAAGGATGACAAATATACTCAGATAAGTACAGACAGTGAGTGTCCCGTGTTCAGCCACAAACAGGATGTCTATATCTCATTTCCTACCCAAGGCTCAGGGACTATTGTAGAAGAGGAGGCAGAAGCAGGGTAAGAGCCAGAGGTCAAAACACTGTCCTCCGGACGTAAAGGAGTCATTACACTTGTGAACTCATAGCAGTTGTGGTTGCCTGCACAAACCTTGCATGAGATCAAGCTAGTCAATATTCAATCATGGCGTGGGAAGGGTTCACCAGTCCCCACCCCTCATCTAGGGGTGCCTTCTGGAGGAGGGAGGAGTCAGTTTCAAGGATGTAGCTCTTGGTAAATTACACTCCAGCAGATGACCCTAAACTCAGAAATAAATGGGAAGGTAGGAAGGTGGGGGTTGAGCTGGAATGAATTGGGAATGCTATGAACATGACTGATTAAAATACATTGTGTAAGGGTGGACGCACAGAGCCTGAGGCAGCATGCACAGGGTCTGTACCAGATTGTCTCCATATATTATGGCTTCTAGTTTAGTGGGTTTTTATTTATTACGTATACAGCATTGTGCCTACATGTGCACCTGCACACCAGCAGAGGGCATCAGATCTCATTATAGATGGTTGTGAACATCATGTGGTTGCTGAGAATTGAACTCAGGACCTCTGGGAGAACAGCCACTGCTCTTAACAGCTGAGCCATTTCTCCAACCCTAGTTTAGTGTTTTTATGGGATTCCCGAGTGTGCAAACAAATATATCTTTGCATCTATATCTGTTTCTTGTGCATATTCTTGGCCTCTCTTCCTTCTGTTAGTTTTGTCCTATTCCAATGTGTTTTTATTATATTTTATTTTATTATTATCCCTTAGAAGCTTATTTGTTTTCTAATGAGAGACAGAAAGGGGTCAGTCTGGAAGGGAGGGAAGGTAGGGAGAAACTGTGAGGAATAGAGGGAGGGAAAACCATAATCAGGATATTATGGGAAAAAAATCTATTGTCAATGAAAGGAAAAAAAGAAAAATATATACATTTATTTGTAAAACGAAAAAATATACAATGTATGAACTCAGACTTTTAAAGAAATTGATAAAAACCTACAGATAAAGTAACCACCAACAAAATCAGTAAGGATGGAGAAAATATGAATAAAGAAATATTGATGTAGTTAACAAACTTGATCTAAGAGGCACACATGAAGTAGCTCTTTGTAATCAGGTTCAAGCCATCAATAAAGGCTGACTTCCATGCTAGTTATACCCCGAGCATCCTCAAATTTGAAAGTTTATTTTGAGGGCTGGAGAGATGACTCAGCATTAGAGAGGGCTTACTGCTCATGCAGAGGACCCAGATCAGTTCGTAGCACCCATATGATTTGGCTCATAACTGCCTGTAACTCCCGTTCCAGGGAGGTTAATGCTTTCTGGTCTCCACATGCTGAAATTCAAAGACTAATTAAATTACTGCAAAACTGACTAAAATTTTGCAGTAATCACTGAGTCATCTCTCCAGTCCCCAAACATACAGTTTTGACTGCTTTCGTAAATTGAATTAATCTAGTATATCAAGTATAACATAGAATCAGACTATTCAACATGTTTTTCAGCAAAATCTTCATGGTCCTTTCCTCATGTCTAACATAAACAAATTATACAAGAGTCCCAGCTTGGACACTAAATACACAACACAGCAAAATTCCTCATGACTGATAACTTCCCCTTTATTCCTATTCTAGCCAAATCCTCACACAACTTAAAATGCTATTTCTGGTTTTATTTTGTACTTTACTTCTCTTTTTGTTCAGGAGAGTTACTAAAACAAGGCCTGGTATATAGAACCAGTATTCTGAATGGATACAGGTTCCCCCTCCTTTGTCCAGAAGAAGGAAACCTCACCTTAACCTCAGACTTCACGCTAACTGAAGAGTTTCTTCCTTACTCACATCTGCCCAATTTTACTTCTATCAGGTGTCAATGATCAATGGCAGAGAGAAAAGGCAATCTGTTCAATTCTATCTTCTTTTTAAGCTGATACTGTAAGGGTTATTATCAAACAAAGTAAAATTCAGCTGGTATGTGCTAGAAATAATCTAACAACTAATAAATTAATTTAACATTATAAAATATTAACCAAATAAGAATATAAATTTATACATTATAAAATGATTTTAGAGTCAACATTATTTTAAAATTATAAGTATTGTAAATATGCTAAAGGCATACAGTCATTAATAAACAATATTACTTACATAATATTATTACTTTTGTGGGCTCTTCCAATATTTTCACACCAGCGATATTTACAAATGTCATAAACCAGTAATTCTTCTGGGAAAAAGTAGTTCCAACGCCGAATTCCTGAAATGCAAAGGATGTTGCTCAAGGAACCATCGCTCTGTCATTTGAGAGTTAATAAACAGTAAGCCAAATTTTACCTCCTTTAATGTCATCTTTATTCACCAAAGAAAGAACAAATTGGTCAACTTCAGGGTATGGTGAGCACTGGAAACCCTCAAGGGATTCAACTACAATGGAGAGAAGTATTTACAGATGAGAACAGTTACATGCTGAAAAACATAGTGACCAAATAATTATTTTGTACAATTAAGGCTTTCCCCCCTCTTTTGCAGTTTGCCTTACTGTCAGTTCTTAGGCTCTTGCTATGCTACAAAGAGGCAGTTAAGACTAAAACTTCAACTGGGTCAAATGTTGGCTAGCTTTTATAAAACGCGTGTTTTCTTCACTCACACAAAGAGAAAGGTAGACCCTCAGCCCAGAAGTGGCACAGGTCTACTGGCTAAGCCTAGGTGTAGCCTCCAGCTAGCCTGACTCCTGCTTCATCCTTGATGTTTTACTGTTAAACACAGATGGTGCCACAGGACTTCAGCAGGTAGATACTGAGGCTACTGTGAGGCAGCAAGGATTCAGAAAAAAAAAAAACAGACCACCCTGTCATCTTGTCCAGGCAGAGAGGAAACATGAACATCCAAACTACAAAAATGCCAAACACTACTTCTATCCTGGCTAACACAAGCAACTATAGTGCTTTATCAATTACAGTGGTGTAAGACTCCCTCCAAGCTGCCTCCTCCTAGATTTAGTATGATAACCAATGGAATTTATTATCCCCCAAGTGAAAATGAGCCCATGCTTCCTTGTATACACGCTTGAATCACAAAAGCCAGGCCCAAGCCTTACTGAGATACCCCAAGAATTTCCATCATCTCAAGGAATAGGAAATCATAAAACTCAATTTGTGTTTTCTGGGTCTATCACTGGAAGGCACTAACATTTTTTTTGTATCTAAGAATGTACTGTCATAACTTGGAATGATCGGTTCACAAATTCATTTAGGTTTAAATAACAGGAAAATCTAGGTTTTTTTTTTAATGAAGTTGAAATTTCACTTAAAATAGTTAATATTAACTGGAGACATTTTGGAAAAAAAATTCAGTGTAGAAATTAGAAAAACTCCTAGACAATATGTCTATAAATATATCTTAAACAATCAGAAGAAATAAACACAGGAAAATATTGCCCATGTTTTTAATAGATTTATAATGTTAATTTGTATGTGTCTTATTGTTGTTGTTACAACAACAAGGGATCTATTGAACCCAGGGCAAGTGCTCTATCACTAAGCTACATCCCTGGTCCCATACTTGTAATTTTAGAGCCTACTTTTTCTCTTATCATCATCAATGGGTGTCTTTCACATTATATAGGCCTTACAAATCTAAACTTTGTAGTCATGGAGTGTGTCATCTAATTCTGTTGTATATTTAGACTGTCTGGAATTTTTCACTATTATGATATACCATCATATGTGAGTAAAAGTATTCAAGACTTTACATAAGAAACTTTAAAAAAAACCCTGCATGTTCTTCAGTACAAAGATGGTCAAAATATGATAGTCATTTGTGGAACACTTTTGCAGGAATGCAAGGTTAAACAGGAAACTACTGTAGTTAGTTACCTACAATTTACAAAAACACATTTCATTATTTTAGTTGTGTGTATGTAGTCAAAGCCTAAGTCGTTTGAGTCAGTTCTTGGCTTTCACCACACAGCCCCTGAATCTGGGTTGTCAGGCTTGGTGGCAAATACTTTTACCCGCTGAGCCATCTCATCAAGCTACCTGTCTGGGTATGGACAAAGGGTGAAAGCGGGGCTGGAGAGATGGCTTAGTGGTCACTTCTGGCCTCCACAGGCCCCAGACATGCACATGGCTCACAGACAAACACGCAGGCCAAACATCCATCACAAAAAATACTTTTTAAGAAATGGGGTGGAAGATTATGTAGTCACATTTTGATGTTCTTGTTTTATATAAAATGCATTACTTACATATTCTTTAAATACCACAGAATGAAAATCAGGTCTCTTAATTAATAAACACCTATAAATTTTTTTATAGTATGTTCAACCTGGTTAGAAATCTAGAATTAGTTTTAAAATGATCAGCAAACACGAGTACTTAAAATTTAAGATTTTTAAAGAAAAATAGATTTGAGATGTGAAATTGTTTGCTTGAAGTTACCTGAAGTGCCTGTGCTGTTAAAATACTCAGCCCGCTTTCTTTTAGTCTGAGATGTGTCACATGTGAGAATTCGTAAATTGTCTGAGAATCTAAAGAAAACATGCAAAAGAAATAAAGTAACATTTATGTTAGAAATAAAGTAACATGATAAGAGAGAGGAAACAGTTCTACTTGGCTTCACTGTTATGGCCCAAGGTGCCAGTCTTATCTCATAACAATAAGATTATGCCAATTAAAAAACAGCTTCCTGGAGGCTGGAGAGATGACTCAGCAGTTAAGAGCACTGGCTCCTCTTCCAGGGAACCAGGGGTCAATTCCCAGCACCCACATGACTGCTCACACCCATCTGTAGCTTCAGTTTCAGGACTTCAATGAACACCAAATACAATAGAAAATAGAAACAAATAAAAAAATAATTTCCTTAACAGCCACTCGGGAATTGTTGAAAATAATTTCTTTACAGAGTAATCCAATGACTCTAGGGTAACTGGAATGATTGAAAGTATAATTCTACTCCCTCTGAATGTTCTGTTAGGATCTGAAAGCTATGAATAATGGAAGAGCAGAAGGAAAGACCAAATTCACACTGACCACAGGAACATTGCCTTCCACTCTGGAAGTGCCTGGCATTCATGGGGCTGTGCAAAGCACAGGAAAGGGGGTCTTAGAGGAGGGGAACCGCTGGCTTCTGTGAGGCTGCTCTGAAACTACACAGGAGTCAGACCAGTGCTACTGCCATAAGTGCAGGTGCTGCCCCTCCAACGAATGCCAGCCACTGCTGTGAACATGTCATGTGTATGTTCTCAGTTTAATTCACCAACTCCGGAAAGTCATTATTCCTACTTTAAAGGTCTTGGGCCAGTGGTGGTGGCACACATCTTTAATCTCAGCACCCAGTCTAGTCTACAGAGTGGGTTCCTGGACAGCCGGTATTAAAAGTCTTTGTATCTTACTTTTGAGAAATATCAAAGGAACACAAATAAAATAGAAATATACGATGAGGGGGAGTGTATCTTCCCACTGCATATAACTTTTCCTAGAGAAACATGCCTTTAATATTTATTCATTTTGTGTTTGTTTCTTTTTTGAGACAGGTTTTCCCTGTGTAGCCCTGGCTGTCCTGGAATTTGCTCTGTAGACCAGGCTGCCCTTGAACTCAGAGATCTGCCTACCTCTGCTTCCTGAGAACTGGATTAAAGGCATGAGCTTAATAGTTCTTCTTAAAATTAACTTCTATAGAATTTTTTCTTATAAAGTTTTGGGGAGATGCAGAGGCAAGTGGATTTCTGTGAATCTGAGACCATCTTGGTTTATAGGCCCATCAGGTTACACAGTGAATCTCTGTCTTAGAAAACAACAAATCCCCAAACCAAAAACTTTTGAGGAAGGTAAAGGGCAAAACAACATAGTAAGTTAATGTGGTTTAGTCCAGTTGTTAACTGCTTTTGTTTGTTTTAGGGTTTTGCCTGTTTGTTGGTTTGGGGGGACAGGATGATGTAGGATTACCATGTGGTCTCATGTAGTCTCGCTGGCCTTGAACTTACTACGTAACCAACGATGACCTTGAACTCCTTGTCCTTGCATGTCCACCTCCCAAGTGCTAGAATTACAGATAGGTCTGGGTACTATAACCACATTCTGAATTGACAAAATTGTCATCCATGGAAACCTAATGTGCAACGACAGACCTGGCAATAAAGTATGCCATTATAGTTCCAAGCTTATAGCATTGAACTCTTTACTTAAAATTGTTGGCAAGCTATTAACTTGGCAAATATTTGTGATATGATGTTGAATAGACAAAAATAAAAAATAAAAAAATCACACGGCATAACCATATGAGCAAGGGTCCCAATTAGAATACGTTTTCTGGGGCTTGGAGCAGTGGATCAAATACAGGGCTTTGAGTACTCGAGGCAAGTGCTGTACCGATGAGCTATACTCAAGGCAAGAAATAGTTTTCTCTTAGGGAGCTAGTAAGTTCTAAATGTGTACTGTATATGTGGAAAGAAATTGAGACAGTAGTAATTAAACTTTTAAACACAATGCAAATTTCATTTTCTACTTTATAAAGTGAAAATTTCAGAATAACTGGAATTTTAGAATACATTAACTATAATCATAAAGAATATGAGGAGGAAATTGCATTATAAAGAAAGACTTTTAAAAACTCTTAAAGTAGAATCAATTCATATGATTCACCTTTTAGCAATATACAATACTATTTACATAAATACATGACAATTAACACTGCTCTACAGACCTGACATTGCTCACCAGGGAAGACAGGAAATACTGATTCTCTTCAGAAATATCTTTTGACTGTTTTGGCATAAATCTGTTATCTTCAGCAACTTCCAAAGCCACACATTTTCCTATCTTTGATGATCGATACAGTCTAAAGTTTCTGTTTCTTGTATAAACACCTAAGTCAAACATTAATTTTAAAGATGAATGCATGTTTCCATGATTAGTTTATGGTCAGCAAATATAATTTTTCTGCAGAATTGCTCAAAAAGACCATGTTCCCATATGCAAAATTAAAGCAACATACGAATTAAGATGATAGAAGGCCCCACACAGACAGCTAACTAAATGATCTGGGGCAGCTCTTCAGAGGAGAGTAAACAGAAGAGTGAGACAAAGTGCCAGAAATAAAGTTTGTGACTGAGAGCTGCCGAAGGACTATGGCAGAAAACCCCAGAGAAAGAGAGACACCAAGAAAACACAGAGTATCTACAACAAATCTAATGGAAGCTGTGTAAGATTTCTATCCAGAAAATTAGACAACATGGTAAGAAATGAGAGAATACTAAATAAATGGGGGACCTACTGTGTATCAGTACTAGCCCAAGAAAAGACAGCCAGAATAAACAATAGAACAGACCAGAGTCCAAAATACATGCAGACTCTGAGTGGAGGCAAAGGGTTCTACTGAACAGCAGGGAATGACAGCCCTTTCCAACAAATGTGCTGAGATAACTGGATGACCCCCCAAAAAAGGATGAACCTCGAACTTCTTCACTCAACAAGAGAAAATCCATTCCAAGGAGACTGCAGGACCTAAGCACAGCCCAAGCAGGCATGGGCTTGCCTTTTACAAAGGACACATACGGCACAGTCAACAGTGCCAATGTTACTCACCTAAATCTACAAAAAGACACTTTTCTCCTATTTTGTTCTTGACAACTAAAAATGAAAGATCAGGGCTGTATTGCTTAGGCGACCCTGGTTTCTCCCAGGCCTCTAAAATCTCTTGTTTTAATGGTACATCAGAGAAACAGGAAACTTCGTGGTCCATTGCCTCTGGAATCTTATCATCATCTTCCTTGGTAGTTAAGTGAAGAGCAGGTTGCAAAATTTTTCTCACAAAATTGCCTAAGAAGAAAAAGTTTCAAGATTACAATCTAATCTTACTTTCTGTAGACTATAACTATATTATGTGTATCTACAAATAACAACTTTATGCAACAATGCTTCTCCCAGTTATTGCTATAAACTGTAATCTGTCTCCTCTGCCACTTCCTTTCAATTGTATAATCTTTCATTTTTTTTCAGCACCCATTGGCATGGGAGGGTGTCAGTTGTAAACACACCATTTAGATGTTTCTAGTACAGACCAGATCCTAACATGCTGCCTGCAGAAATGTCAACTTTCACTACTACAGATCAGAATGATTTCTAGGCAGTGATCGAAGGATGAGGCATTCATATGAGGACACCAATGCAGAGACAGGTACAGCACACAGAGAGCCTGCCACATACCCCTGAAGTTAGCAGGTTGGCAAAAATCTGATGAGTACATCCTCTCTCCTTCAGCTGCCATGACATGCCCCCAAGAACTCTCACTTTGAGAGTCCCAAGGCTGTTTCCAACCATACACCTCCCTCACAGTGGTCACAAGATGAACTATGGCCTTAGAGCTAATGTCTGGAATTAAAGCAATTCATATATCTTGTACTTAAACATCTGCCCTAAGACTGCTCTGTCTGCACTGTGGAAAATTGGTGAGACAACCGAACATCTTCAAATTCACATGTACTATTTCTTTTTTTTTTTTTTTTTTTGGTTTTTCGAGACAGGGTTTCTCTGTATTATTTTGGAGCCTGTCCTGGAACTCACTCGGTAGACCAGGCTGGTCTCGAACTCACAGTGATCCGCCTGTCTCTGCCTCCCGAGTGCTGGGATTAAAGGCGTGCGCCACCAACGCCCGGCTACCACATGTACTATTTCTACCACAAAATCAAGCACTAATTCAACTATTGAGGTTTTTTTTTAAATATATATAATACTGAATACATGAAATAATGTAGAGAAAAACTTCCCTAGAATTGCAAATTGGGGCTTATCACTTTATATGTCAAAAAAAAAAAGCTTGAATCTTTAATCATAATATACAAATGCTTTATATTCAAAATCTTCGTTCTTTAAACAAGACTTCCCTATGCAAAGAAACAAATAAAATTTCTTTTTGGTGGCTTTTTTGAGGCAGGGTCTTGCTAAGCATCCCAGGATGCCCTTGAACTTGGGGTCACCCTGCCTCAGCCTCCCTAACTCTCAGACCGCAGGCCTGCATCACCATGGCAAATACATCGTCAGTATCTTAAAGGAAACTGGGACTGGATACGGAGGCGCATGTGTGTTATTCCAGCTCACAGGAGACAGTGTGGGGCCTGCCAGGGCTACAGAGCAAGACTTAGTCACTAAATAAACAAAATAGGGGCTGGAGAGATAGCTCAACAGTTGAGAGTGCTTCCTGCTGGCCCAGAGGACCAGAATTCAGTTCTCAGCACCCATGTCAGGCAGCTCACAACTGTTGCCAACTCCAGCTTCTGGGGATCTGACACTTTCTTCCAGCTTCAAGGGCTCCTAGCACTCACAGAATCACAGATTCAAAGACACACACTAAAAATGATAAGTAAACAAAGAAGCATTAGAACACTAAAATGAAAGCAAAAGCATTTGATTCTTGCTGTAAAACAGAGATGTGGTTATTGCTGGAATGAAAGTGAGCAGGAAACAGTAGTTAAAGAGATACGGTGTATCAAAGGACTATGACACAACAAAAACATAAATTGATAGAGTTGACTTTCCTGGAAACTTCAGATTCCATCTACCTGGCCCAGATAATAGGAGCATTGAGAACTGGATGCAAAAAGAGTTACGTGGGCAGTACTGAGGCAGCTAGTCTTTGACCCCTGGCAGGAAGCTAACACGGCAGGAGTATGATGGCACTCAGTCAGCCTGAGTATTAGCACTCCAGCTCCCAGCACACACCCTGTTGTGCCCTTCTTTATCTGTGGCAGAAGTGCACAGTCCAGATAAAGTTCTCTAATCTCTTCCATTTGGCCCAGTTCCTCTTTCTGCAAGGCTAGTAAAAGGAACTTAAGGTGTCATAAAGAGGAACACCAAGAAAGGGGAAACGGCGGGGAAAGACTGGTTTGTATTCCCTGAAGTCTGACAGTGCTCTCACTGTGGCCATGCTCTGTGAGAATAAAGGCTTTCTCACTCTCATGCATGTGGTGCAACTCTGCCCTAATCTCAGACATAATGGGATCTGCTTTGAGAAGCCATCTGCAGCAGAGGCTGCTGGTTGCTAGCAGCTACCTATTCTCTCTAGCTAGACTCTCAACAAGCAGCCCGTACATCAGCAGTCACAGAGCAGAACGAGAAATAAGCAGGGACTGTTTTCAGGCTCTGCTGTTAATATGCTAAACACTGAAAACAGCAAGTAAACAACAGTCCTTGCCACTAAGAAACTTCAAGTGGAACCGGGAGACAGGCTCCATGTGCAAAGTGTTCGCAGCATCAGCCTGAGGCCCTGAGTTCACATACCCAGAAACTATGGAAAACATGGAAAAGGCCAAGTATGGTTATGCCATCTGTAATTTGGTGCTGGGGAGCAGAAACAGGCAAATCCTGGGGGCTCGATAGCCAATCAGCCTAGATGAGATGGCAATCTTCAGGTTAAGAAGGAGTCCTATCTTAGCACAATAATGTGGGAAAATAATTGAGGAAAATATCCTCATGTCACCTGTGGTCTCTGCATGTGCCCACAGGATGAGTGCACCTGCACACACATGTGGACATGTTTATACTCATACATATGCTTGTGCATACTACATAGACTAGAGATGAGGAAAGAGGAAATAACCCTAGGAAGTGGCAAATGATTTCACATAGCATCATGATGCTGTAATCCAGAACACTAGTGTTTTAAGTCTTAGAGTTTCTCAGACGACCTGAGATGTTCAAAGTCTGAGCTGGAGTCCAGATAGCAGCAACAAAGGTAAGAAGACCCAAACACTAGGGAAACGTGTTGTAGGGGGAGCTGAGTGGAGAGACGAGATTAGAGTACAGTGAATCTCACTGAACAAGTGGGTGCTGTTTTCCCTGGTGGCAAAGAATAACACCACTCCCACTAGCTGGCCAAATAATCAGGTGGAGACCACACCAACACATACACGGGATGGTGGTGACTGATGCCACTCACTGGCAGATATCACAGGAGAAGGAACAAGTCCTTAGGGAAGAGAGGGAGCTTGGGAAGGACATGTTGAGTCGAAATGTGTAAGTGGAAATATTAGTGGGACACTGCTGCAGGAAACTGGTGTCTAGAACAATCTGGGCTAAATACGAAGATTCCAGTCATCTATGTGGATGATAACTGAAGGCACAACAGTGGGTGATCAGGAAAGACGTGACAGAGTGAGCAAAGGTTCAAGCATCATTGAGCCTGCAGTTACTGACACCTAAGGGATGGGAGCCAACGGACTTGGGGAGGTAAGGAGCGGGCCAGCACTCTAGCTGGCTGTGCCCCAGCACATCTCTAACCAGCCCCAGCGTTATCCCAGTCCTTTCGTGACCATGTTCATACCAATTATTCTATGCGGCTGTGAAGTTACGAGACACTTGTAGCTCAGAAATGGGTTGCCTGTTGCAAGAACATTAGCCAACGGGCGTTGGTGGCACACGCCTTTAATCCCAGCACTCGGGAGGCAGAGGCAGGCGGATCTCTGTGAGTTCGAGGCCAGCCTGGTCTACAAAGTGAGTTCCAGGACAGCTTCCAAAACAATACAGAGAAACCCTGTCTCCAAAAACCAAAAAAAAAAAAAAAAAAAAAAAAAAAAGAACATTAGCTAACACTCTTAAGGCTACTATTGCTTTGATGAACACGGGGCTTCTGGTTCTCTTTAAACCTCAGATTTGCATGTTCTCTGGACTGACTTCACTGTACACCCTTCATTTGTCCTAGGGCAAACACCCTGCTTATACCCACAGGTGTGCACCCAGATGTCACTGAAGTGCTAAAGTTCTTCCTGGGACAATAAACCCTTCTTGGCATATCAAGCCCCCAGCCCTCAAACTAAGGCTAATTTAAGGCTGAAGGAAAGGTCAGAAATACTGATATTAGATACCACAGATAAGCCCACTCATGACTTATCAGACAACTGAAAAGGAATCCTGTTGGAACAGAAACCTGTATCATGACATGCAAGGTCATCTCAGGGTGTATGGTAAGAGACACTAATGCCACTGATACCCTGAGCAGGTTAAACTACCTGGAATAGAACAACAGGTCAAGAGCTAAGGCCAATCATGAAAACCCACTTCATCTTTTTAGACTAGTTAAGCAACCACAAAGGTAGGAAATACCTAGAAAATTTGAAGAGAGGGAAAATATAAGCTTTTAATACAATTGGGTTCTTTTAAAAGGTACTCACCAACATGAATGTTATCTTTAAATGCTACATCATTGAGCTGAAATATTAGATGTCGGCTAAATTTTTCTTCAGTGCTAGAATCCAAGTTGATAACATCCTCAGCTGAGCAGTGAACATTGTATAACTCCTCAAGTGCTTTGCAAACATGCTAAAAATACAAGCACATGTAAATAATTTACAGTTTTGATTTCAGATTTCTCTATCAGCAATTCAAATACCTTGCTACAAATTGATGACTTATCATCAGAACATTTACATTACAGCAACCTTACCAATTTACTTATAAGTTTAAATACACCACTTAAAATTATTACATGGTTGTGTGGAGAGATGGCTCAGGGGCTAACTGCCTGCTCACCCAGAGGACCAGGATTCAGTTCCAGCGCTCACATGGCAGCTCACATGGGTACGGCAGCATGCATTTGTTATACAAACACACATGCAGACAAAACATCCATAGATACAAGATCCTAAAAGTAATTTTTTTTCATTTTTCGAGACAGAGTTTCTGTGTATTGTTTTGGAGGCTGTCCTAGAACTGGCTCTGTAGACCAGGCTGGCCTTGAATTCACAGAGATCTGCCTGCCTCCTCTGCCTCCCAAGTACTGGGATTAAAGGTGTGTGCCACCAACGCCCAGCCCTAAAAGCTGGTTAAAAGCACTTGCTACTCTTTCAGAGAACTCAAGTTTTATTCAAAGCACATGCATGGTCACTCACAACCATATGTAACCCCAGTTCCGGGAAATCCAATTCCCTCTTCTAGCCTCTGTAGGTAGGTACCAGGATCATATATGTACACAGATATACATGTGGACAAAAGCACCCAAACACATTTAAAAAAATAAAAATTCATATACTCTCAGGACTGAAGAAGACTCTTAAAGGTCAAGCAACTTATATATGAATCTCCTCTAAAACCATAATAAAAAGCTCCTTGTTAAGTATTTCCTAATGCTAGCTGTCTTAGTTAGGGTTTCTGTTGTTCTGACATCATGACCAAAACCAACTCAGGGAGGAAAGGGTTTACGTCATCTCACAATCTGAGGTACATCATCCAGGGAAGTCAGTGCAGGAACTGATGCAGAGGTCATGGAGAAAGGCTGCTACTGGCTTATTCCTCACGGCTTGCTCAGCACACTTACACCATCCAGGACCACCTGCCTACGGGTGGCAGTGCCCCCCAGTGAGCTGGGCCCATCTACATCAATCATTAAAACAAGAAAACGGCCCACAGGTCAATTGGGAGAGGGCATCTTTCCAGGTGAGGTTCCTTCTTCTTAAATGACTCTGGCTCATGTCCAGCTGACAAAACACTAGCCAGCACAGTGGCTAAAAGTTAGAGTCTCTGGTTCTAGTCCTTTTATAACTTTAACTATTAGGAAATTTCTCATTCTTATTGAACCTACATTTACCTCTAAGAATACAGCCTTAAAGCACCTGGCTTAGGAGACCAACGTTTGGGTTTAGAAAGGGCTAAGTGTGAGTTTTGGCCCTGCCTCTTACTGATCAAATCTAACCCTGGCATTCCTCAGCTGTGAGACAGAAATGGCAAATATCACCTGGCTTTTGGAGTTATGGCAAGGAGCAATGAGAAAAGGGGATTAAGGAGTTAGCACAGTGCCTCACATAGGTAACTGCTGAAAAGCACTGCCCATGGAGCACTGAGACAAGCCACTTCTCCCAAGCATTGTCAGGCTTCGCATCTGCAAATTGAAGAACTAACCATCATCACGTTAGCAAAGACGCTTGCCAAAGTTTGCCAGCCACTTAAATATCTAATAGTTACAAATAAATTACACCTACTACCAATGTTTTCACATTACTGGCTTTGTACTACTAATTCATAATTACTTCCCATTATTTCCACCATCGAAGCTTACTTCTCTTTAGTAAATTCTCACTTTCTCAACGGTCTCCCTCAATCTGTTCACCTATGTCAAACTATTTCTAGATATCTAAAGAATTTACAGAGCTTCAGTTTAACACCAATTTATCTCATTTTGGTATCTGCTCCCTCTGTATTACAGACAGGGAGCACACCCCGGCCTGCCCCATTTTCTACTGACTAGAATGTAAAAGGTGAAAGATTTATACGATCTGAAGAGAAACCAGAGTATTACTGACTAGAATGTAGACACAGCAGTGTGAGCTAGCTTGGGCAATGTGAGTAAGGCAATGATTTGGGAAAAAAACCAAAGCAACAAGGTTAACTTTTAATACAACAGAATCTCACTGGATATTATATGAGCAATAGATAAGCTTCCATCTTCTTTAAGATGCTTTGTTTTGTTTTTCAAAACAGAGTTTCTCTGTGTAGCCCTGGCTATCCCAGAACTCCCTTTGTAGACCAGACTGGGCTTAAAATCAGGGATCTGCCTGCCTCTGTCTCCTGAGTGCTGGATTCAAGGCGCACATCACCACACCTGGCCTTGTTGAAGCTATTTAAGAAGTGGATCTTTTCTGTGGCAGCCAACTGGATCCTAATTGTTTATTCTTTGTTACATTATGCAGTAACCATGTCTCCAGCTCACCATTTCATTCCTATACTTCACATAGAGTCTGACACTTGGTAGCTGCTGTAAAAGCTTTTGGTATTTGAATAAACTTCAAGTGCTTTGACGTTATAGACAGCAAATTTGGTGGCTCTTCAGTTTTAGTGTCAACCTTTCCTAAATTACATTTCCCAAGTTAAACAGCAAACAGAATTACCGTTATTTATGAAACTACGCTATAAAACTTGGGAGATTAAAAACACATGATTACTTAAGCAATCTGCATTACTGACAAAATGCATAGCACCGTACTCTTTGATCTAATCGGTAGGAATGATTTTATTGAAATGTATCAGTTAAGTCATTGAGCCCAAAGGACAGTATAACTAGTTGTTAATAAACATTTATTAACTGCCTATTAACTTAAAGATAAGAACTAATCGTGGTGGTGCACACCTACAATCCAAGCACTTCGCTGGAAGATAGAGGCAGGAAGATTAGAGGTTCGGGGTTTTCTCTGGCTACATAGTGAGTTGGATGCCCCTTTGATTGTATGCGACCTTGCTTTAGCCAGCAAAATGCCTGTGAATAAAGGCAGATGGTGCTCTGTGTGATGACCTGAGTTTGATTCCCAGGACCTACATGGTGGAAGTCGAGAAGCAGCTCCAGCAAGCTGTCTTCTACATCCGCAGTGAACTGTGACACATGCATGCCAAAACACAACAAAAACGGCTTAAATGTAAAAAGAAAAGGGCATGCAGCTAGCTAACCTAATTTAAGCTTCATCAGACTCAAAACCTATTTACTAGACTATAAAGTTATGTGCAAAGAAACTAAAATGAAATAAATTTCAATGTAATTATTTATAAATAGTGCAAACTGTTCCACCAAATAGTAAACATGCTAAATAAAACTGTTATACAATTTTGAAGTTAGATTTCTACAATGGTCTCCACATTTTCCTGATATAGATTAGTTCTTCAATGGTTTATATAGATATGATATAAAGAATTAAGAGGAAACAAAATTAAATCCTGAGATGACCTTTTCATGTGTTTATTAAATCTGTTACACAGAAGTTTTATTCTCTGTTTATTGCATTAGGGATATTTCTACTTCCTAATACAATGTTGCACTTTAATAGTAGCAATATGTTTAAGTAGCAATGAAAACCTCTATATTTTAGTTCTTTGTAACACATCTATGTGAGAAATCCTATTTTACACTGTTGAACTGTATCACATAACAAAAAAAGTCAATACTGATGAATTATGACAAAGTCAAAAACTAAGCCAGCGACACTGAAACAAGGCATTTAAGTTTATTTTTGAGTGTTCAGTGGCTATTTTAAGACTAATAGGGGGCCGGGCATTGGTGGCTCACACCTTTAATCCCAGCAGTTCGAGGCCAGCCTGGTCTACAAAGCGAGTTCCGGGACAGCCTCCAAATACAATACAGAGAAACCCTGTCTCGAAAAAAAAAAAAAAACCCAAAAACAAACAAACAAAAGACTAATATGACCTGTTCATCTTGGAGAATTAAGGAAGATTTTACAGATGTTTATTTTGCTTCAAAGTTGGGAGAAAGTATTTATGAATATTTTTCATGTAAACGTAAAGTCAAATATATAAAGATATAATGAAATTAGCGGACCCCCTTTAGAACATTTTAAACTTAGATATATTTTCAAGTTACAAAATTACTTTTCAAAAATTATCATATTGTTAACATTCAAAAGAAAAACATGTTAAAACATACTCTAAGGCCAATGGTCACTGCATTTTTCATACGATTTATACAAAACAATCTTAAGTTTTTAAAAACAGATGTCAAAGTATAAGTCCATATAATTCCTTTTTACTGACACAGCTAAATGAAAAAAAAAAGTATTAGCACTACACTCTTCTTAGATGAAAAAAGACATAACTACTTATATTCTGGCTTAGTCAGTCTCTATCTATAGAATCCAAGTATATTCTGGTCTCTGAGTCATAACTTTTTCATCCATTAAGGCACTGATATGATTTCCAAAATTCCTACCAGTTCAAAAATTCTGATACTACTTTTAGTTAACATTTCCCACCGGGCGTTGGTGGCACACGCCTTTAATCCCAGCACTCGGGAGGCAGAGGCAGGTGGATCTCTGTGAGTTCGAGATCAGCCTGGTCTACAGAGTGAGTTCCAGGACATCCTCCAAAGCCACAGAGAAACCCTGCCTCAAAAAAAAAAAATTTCCCTGTATTTCATCTCAATGTCCAATTTAAACAGTGGAATTTGCTTTATGTAGCTTTTGCCATGGCAAGTATCCTGGAAGTCAAAGAATTCTCACTTGCATTTATTTCAGGTTTTTAAATTAGATATAGTAATAAAAAATGCAGGCATTAATTGAATTTTCATTTTGTTTCATTATTTACTCACAGAAATTGTCAGAAGAAAGAATGGCAAGGAAGAGTAGGAGAAATACAGAGCCTACAGTGGAGTCAGTGATTAACAGAAGTAGGAGAGGAACTTACCTCTATGAGTAATGCAACCATCTTTTTCCCATCAGCTCCTGGATTGGCCAATTTGTTAAACTCCAAATCAAAATAAAGCTTGCACACAGCATTCTCAGGAATAACTTCATAGCAATGCAAGAGGGCTTTCCTAAGATTAGTAGATTTGTGTCACACAGTGTAAATAGTGATCACCTTTACTGAGCCACCTCACCAGCCCATGTGTCGTCTTAGACCTTTTAAAACAGAGTCAGCCCTGTACTCAAGCACAGTGATCATTGTGCTCTATGAATGCATAACTATGAATTAATAAAATAAACTGATAAAGACACTTGTTAACAATAAGTCTGTGACTCACGGTATTAAAAGAGTTTCTGACAAAATGATGTTAACAGGAAATTATTTAACTGGTAAATAAGGTCAATCTTGCAGTGCTACTTATTCATTCACAATGTCTTGATATTTGTATAACTTTTGTTTTTGATGTCATTTTGAAATAATCCCAGGACCCGCCCACCCCCACAACTCCATGAATCTTCTGTGGGAATTTTTAAATTCTATATTTTCATTAGGAAGGCACTTTTAAATGTTTTAACTTTTCATTTTTATTTCATGTGCACTGTTTTTTTCCTGCATGTCAGTCTGTAGGAGGGTGTCGGATCTCCTAGAATTTGTTGGGAGGTGCCATATGGGTGCTTGAAATTAAATCTGGAGGAGCAATCAGTGCTCTTAGCCACTGAGCAATCTCTCCAGCCCCCTTTAAAATGTTTTGAAACGGAAATTCTCTCAAGACAGCTTCACCCGCCTCTTTTAGCTGTGTAAAGTGTCCTTTTCCTGTCTCTCTCCCTCCTCTGCTATCACGCTTACATCTTCGTTAAAACCTTCTCCCCATAAGTGTGTTTTTAAAATAATGACTTTTAATAAGCAAACAAAAAACTGAATCTCTAGACTTCAATAATTGTTCAGTTTATGCAGGCATGAGATGAATGGCTTTGAGGACAATAAACAAGAGCAGGTGCTGATTCAAAATGCAAATACGTAAAGTTCAAACAATACAAATAAAGGGTCTGCAGTTAAATTTAAACTGATTACGACAGAGGATCCCAGTTCAGTTAGTTCCCAGCACCCATGTCAGGTACCTTACAACTACCTGCGACACCAGCTCTAGGGAATCTGACATCATTTTCTGGTCTCAGCACCTGCACACATGTGGTATTCATACACGCTCAGAAATAAAAAATAAAATAAACAATGTTAAAAAAAGGAGAAGTGATGGCAGTACATCATCATGTAGCAGATAGTAGTTGTGGGTACTGCTACAAACCCTCTGACAGCACTACCTTTACAGTTCAAGGTGAGATTCAGTTTCAATAAAACACCTCCTGTCACATTGTATCAAGACCCAGTATGGGCCAGGTATGGTGGAACACACCTTAAGTCCCAGCACGTGGGAGGCAGAGGCAGGTGGATCTCTGAGTTTGAGGCCAGGTTGGTCTACACAATAAGTACCAGGAAGACCAGAGCTGCACAGAGAAACCCTGTCCTCAAAAAACTAAAAAGTCAAAACCAACCTAAACCAAAATTAACAAACAAAAACCTTCATTCACCTCTGACTGGCATCCATATATACAAGCATAACTAAATCTAGTTTTGTAACTGAAGCTATTTAAAATAACATTAATGAAAGTATGTATATTGATTTACTTCCCTTTTCATAGATAAGTCTGAGAAACAGGTGAATACAAAAGGTTTATTAAATGAATTTTAAATATATATATATACATACATATTATATATATATTTTTACTTTGAGACATGTTGTGGGACATTTGTTTAACTCTACAAAGATGTGCTGCATTTAATTATGTAAAGATGTGCTGCTGTTTTATCTTGCTTGCCTAAGCACCTGATTGATCTAATAAAGAGCTGAATGGCCAATAGCAAGAGAGGAGGTATAGGTGGAAATTTCAGGCAGGGAGAGTAAATAGGAGGAGGGATTTAGGCTTGAGGAAGAAAGAAAGCAAAATGACCAGGAGATTCCAGGGCCAGCCAGTCAGACACAGAAGAAGCAGGAAAGTAGGACATACAAAATGAAAGAAAGGTAAAAAACCCAGAGGCAAAATGAATAGAAACAGGTTAAATTAAGTTAAAAGAGCTAGTGGGACAAGTCTAAGCCAAGGCCGAGCTTTCACAACTAGTAAGAAGCATCTACATCTTTATTTAGAAGCTGGTTGGTAGCCCAAAGAAAATACAGCCCTCTTAAGTAAATATGGCTTTCTGTGAAGAACTCTAATCTTTGGTTACAGTATTGAAAGCTCTTGGCTTCAGCCTTTCATATCCTCTTTGAAATGACCAAAATGCAGGCATTCTTTACTATATAATTAATAAAGTAAGTGCTCATTTAAAATCAACAGTAAAGCTTAATGTTTTCTTGCAAAACACAAATTTTTAAAAATTCTCTATAGTACACAAATGTGTGATCTTCCCCCTCCCAGAACTCAGTGAGATAGACTGAACTTTGCAAGTGGCAAGATACCTCAGTGGTTAAAGGCATCTGCCACCAAGTCTAATGACTTCAGTTTGGTCCCTAGACCAATATGATGGAAGATAAAAAACCACCTCCCAAAAGCTGTCTTCCAACCTCTACATGTATACTATGGTACATGTGTTCCCATGTGAGAGCATGCATGTATGTGCCACACACATATATGCACACAAAATAAATGAATTTTAAAAAATTAGAACATGTGTGCAGGGCATGGTGTTGTACACCTTTAATCCCAGCACTCAGGAGAGGGAAGCAGGCTTCCCTCTGTAGGTTCAAAGCCAACCTGGTATCATAGTGAGTTCTAGGCCAGCCAGAGCTACCTAGTGAGATTTTGTCTCAAAAAATAAAGAAGAAAATTACAAATATGGAAACTCCACATGATATAGGATGAAGTCAGTGATTACCAGGGAGACAAATGTGTCTCTCGTTGGCTTTTATGAGTACTGCAACTATCTTTTTTCACAAAGGAACTTCAGAACTCAATTCTAATGGTTAGAGAGTAATATGCTGACGATACAGCTTCAGCCATCTGAAAGGCAGGAGCCTCAACTGAGAAAATGCCTTCTTATGATCGTGTTTTAAGCAGACAAACCTGCATGGCATTTTGTGATTGATGGGGAGGGTCCAGCCCATTGTAGATGGGGACACCCCGGGGGCTGGTGGTCCTGGGCTCTCTAAGAGAGCAGGCTGAGAAAGCCATGTGAACAAACCAGTCAGCAGCATCCTCCGTGCCATCTGCATCAGCTCTTGCTTCCAAGTTCCTGACTTAATTGAGTTCCTGTCCTGACTTCTGCCAACGATGAACAGTGATGTGGAAATGTAAGCCAAATAAACCCTTTCCTCCTCATGGTGTTTCACCATACCAGTAGTAACCCTAAGGCAAGTAACTAATCATGTGGCCAAGAATGGAATTAATTTTAACAAAATTAACGAATTAACAAAAATGGAAACCCAACTTCAGTTTGATGTACTGCTCTGCTACTTACCGGAACTTATAGTAAAACCAAAGCTGAGCATAAGATGTTACAAGGTAAATACGCTGTCCATCTCCTGCTTTGCACTCCAAAGCAAATACGTGAACATTCTGCAAAAAATTTAAAATAAGTTTTGAAAATTTACAACATGCAAATCTAAGTTTAACTGTAACTAATAAATGTTCATAATATTATGTATATATTATATTACATATATAATTTTTTCTTTTAGATTTATTTATTTTACTTCATTTGTGTAAGTGTTGGGTCTGCATGTATATTTGTATACCATATGTGTGCCTGGTACCCAAAGAGGTCAGAAGAGGGCACTGGATACCCTAGAACTGAAATTATGGATGATTGTAAGTTAAATGTAGAAGCTGGGAATCAAACCTGGGTCCTCTGCAAGAGAAACAAGAGCTATTAACCCATGAGCCATCTCTCCAGCCCCTAAAAACTGTGTTTTTTAAATAATTGTTTAATTTTTGGCTGGAGATATGGCTCAATGGTTGAAAGCACTGACTGATCTTTCCAGAGTATATAGGTTCAATTTCTGGCACTCACATGGCAGCTCAGAACTGTCTGTACCTCCAGTCCCAGGAGGTCTAACGCCCTCTTCTGTACTCCTCAGGCACTTCATGTGTGTGGTATATAGGTATACATTTATGCAAGCACTCATACAAATAAAAGTTTTTAATAAAAAGTTTGTATATATGAGTGCCTGCATGTATGCCTATGTACCAGATGCCTGCAAGCAGTCCTTGGAGGCCAGAATTGGATCACGTGTAACTCTTAACCACTGAGCCATGTATTCAGCCCCTATTTTTAAATCACTGACACAACACATATGTAAGATAAAGACACAGTTTCCAGATTAAAAATAAAATTAAAGAAGGAGAAAGCCCAGCCAGGTGTTGGTGGCACATGCCTTTAATTCCAGCAGAGGCAGGTGGGTTTCTGTGAGTTCAAGGCCAGCCTGGTCTACAGAGTGGGTTCCAAAACTACAGAGAAACCCTGTATCGAAAAACCAAAAAAAAAAAAAAAAAAAAGAAAAAAGAAAAAGAGAAAGTCCATTCTTAATTCCCTTACTCTTATTTAACCTAAGACAGCTTCATCTCTTAGTTTATGAAATTAGACTCATTTTGTACTTTTATAAAAGTACAAAAATCTCCATATTACTATAAACTATTTCAACTAAAACATATTAATAAATTCTCCTTTCCTATAAAAATATACATGGGATTAAAAATGTTAAAGTTAACACAGTCCTGAATAAAACAGGACAATTCACAGGTGCTGTGCAAGGGACCTCTGCTAATGCAGGCATATGAGAGGGAAGGGCCACATGAGGAGTTTCTGCTAATGCAGGCATCACAAAACTATTTATGTCCATCTAGCTAAAGTAGCTGGTGAGCCAATTTTCATTACTGAGAAGTCATACAAAGACTCTGTGGCTCGACTCTATCAATGGTGTAGCCCTTGCCTAGCTATGTGAGGACCTGGGTTCAACTTGTGGAACATAAAAAAGAAATCTTTCTGAAATAACTTTACATTGGTGACTGGCAAGCACATCCCTCTTTGGTTTTGAAAAGAGCATGTTCAAATGACTCTCAGCATTTTAATTCCTGATTCCTGAATTAGGTGTACACAAAATGAGTAAGAATTTTCTAATGTCCCCTATTTTGTTTAAATCCAAATAAGCATCTTATAACTCAGAAAGCAAGGTATTTCTCTCCAATATGAAGTACTTTGTGTTTTTGCAGAGAATCAACGGCCAGAGAACAATATATATTTGAATTATTTAAACATTTTTACTACATTTGTTTATTTATGTGCGGAGTGCGTGGGGTGGGGAGGTGCCCTTGCCAGGGCATGTGTGTGGAGGCCAGAGAACAATTGTAGGTTGTCAGTTCTCTCTTTCTACCAGGTGGGTCTCAGGAATCCAGCTCAGGCCATCAGGCTTAGCAGCAGGTGCCTCTACCCACTGATCCATCTAACCCACATTACATCTCTATTCGCATCTTATCATTCGTCTGTCTTTACATCCCACGAGAGTGCCACTCGCAATAATAGGCAATATATTGTCTATTGCTAAATTTATTTTTAATTTTGCATTTGGCTTCCCTGCTCTTTTAAAAAATAAAGCGATCACCTCTTTACAGCTTTTAACAAAATTAAAAGCTTGATTCTGACGATGAAATAGCTTCCAAATGGAGGGTGGGTCTTCCGGCTTGGACAATCTTGGTCTATACACGGAGGACAATGGCTTCCTCTCATAGTGAGATGCTCGCTCTTCGATTTGCTTCAGCGTTGCTTCCCATTTCCTCATCATTGGTTCAGAAGTAGAGAGAGAATATATCCAACCTCAGAAGCCTTTCTATCAATTACTACTAAACAAGCAAAAATGTTAATTTATTTAGAATACATTCTGCCTGGTATAACCTCAAATCTGGTTTCCTGACATTTATGTGCTCATTTGCTTTACATTTTCTTCTTTGCACAGTCTCACCATAGAACAGGAGTAGGGCTGGTCATCACAAATCCTTAGAGCCTAGCTCTTCCCTCTACTAGTTTTATGACCATGGGGAGATTAATGAAACTCCATGAAATCTTGGTTTAATCAACTGCAAAAGTGGAATCAATAGAATCTTGAATCTTCTATGCTGTACCTTAAGGCTAACTGTGATAAGACATTTGCAAATGACTTAGGAATTATAAAGCCTGTGTAAATGCTTTCAGTATCACAGCCAACCTAGTGCTTAGTTGGTGCTTACTATTTTGGACCCTGCTCTTGCGTGCACACTAAGTTTAGCTTTCTGTTCTCTTTTCTCCCAATACAACAGAGGGATGGCAATTCTGCTCTAAGCATAGCTTCATTGTCATTATAAACTTTATATTTTGCTACTTCTCCCAGCAGGAGATGCAATCTAAGTTGAATCACACGCAGACTCCGGGCTTGGACGTGTGACTTTCTTGGTTCAAGATCACACTGACAAATTTAAGACTAGGTGCTTCTGTATCAGACTTGGCTACCTTAGAGTCCTGTCCTGAGACTGCAGTGTCATAATCCTAGCAAGGGGAAGAGGACCATCATCATCCTTTCACATAACTGCATATCAGAGGATGAGGGTCACATGAAGAAGGTATCCCAGCCAAAGCCAATCAGATTCATGAGTTAGAACATTTCAGATCACACAACGTTAAAACCGAATGAATTTAGGGCAGAATGTAGAACTTCCTAGTTTGGAATTGTTTTTTTAACTAGTAAGTTTCGTGCTGGTTTTTTACACGAGATTAGATAAATTGGGTTCTTGTCAATAACATCTATGCTACTATTTACTCATACAGAAAACAGATATATTAGCTTTTAAGTGAAGCAGCAAAATATACTGAAGCATTTTAGGAGCAAATTATTATTTACCTATGGCAATGCCTTTGTCTTCAATTTTAGCAGAAATCTTTGGAGTGGCATAATCTCATTAGTAAATGACATGTTCCCTGAAAAGAAATACAAAATTGCCCTTAAAAAGTTGAAAAGACAGATTCCTTCACATTCAGTTTACTTTTACTTGGATTCTTTTTTTTTTTTTTTTTTTTGGAGATAGAATTTCTCTGTAACTTTGGAGGCTGTACTGTAACTCACTCTGTAGACCAGGCTGGCCTTGGATTCACAGAGATCTGCCTGCCTCTGCCCCTCCCACTCCAGTGTTGGGATTAAAGGCGTGAGTCACCACCGCACAGCTTGATTCATCTGTAGATAAAAATCTGCTATATATTTCAAAAAACCTAATTGATTTATTCTGGGCAAGTTATTATATTCTTGCCCCCAAGCAACAATGCAATCATATCTGAATCATAGATTCAAATAACCAAGAATGGCCATATACATGTTCACATTTGGTGAAACTAAAATCGCACACACACACTATAAAACAACCAGGCAATGATTTTGGGAATGTGCTCTGCATGAAAGTCTGGAGTTGAAAAGCCAGCTGAAGACACACTGCTGAGGAAACAAGAGAGGGAAAGCAATGCTTAGTATCTATTATGTCCCTGAATTGTTCTCACAGCTAGACATGTGTGACAGCTGGAGCATCGAAGAACAGGGGCTTGAACTATCTGAGCAGGAGGAGCAAAGAAACTGGAGAACGAGAGGCATCTGTCTTAGGACTATCGTATTCCCCATCCCGGCCCTCTGGGGGAATACGACACCATATTAGGAATACTTTTAATTCCTGATGTCGGGAAAGAGTACTATTGTTCTTTTAAATAATTTTATGCCAAAGCTCCCTTCTACCCAGAGACTATTTTTGGTAATGGACTACAAGCTCCAAAGGAAAACACTTGTACTAGCTTAAGGACGCAGGCTTAAAGAACTCTATTGTTCATTTCTGCTCCAAAACAGTATTTAACCACGCTGGCTACAATCCTACAGTTATAAGTGTTGGTGTTAAAAAACAGGATTCCTCATTTTACAGCAACTAGTGGGAGCAGGGGAAAGTAGGACTCAAGTGGAAAGCTGACCAAGTTCCCTGGGTTTACTAGACTTGTCTGCTAAGGACTGTGGATGAGCTGGCTCCCCAGAGCAACTTGACTGGGGTGGGGTGGGGTGGAAAGTAGCATACACAACACAGGTGTTTCATAGTCACCTTTCACTCACATGTAACAGGTACTGCTGTCCACTGCACTGGGTATGCCCACGCCTGTGAAGAACACGCCTGTGAGGTCACTTAGACCACGTGGACTCTAACCTATTATCAATGAATCTCTTGATGGATTCGTGATATGATGGCATTAGTGGGAGATGGCGAAAAGGAGAAAGTGAGGCCTAGTCCGAGGAAATACTGCTTTCTGGCTGCCATGACGTAAGCTGCTGTTCTACTGCGCCCTCCCAGCCAAGATGGAGCGACAGCATTAAAGCACAGATAAATGTTTCTTGAGTTAAATCATTCTGCCAGGCATCTGTCACAGCAATGAGAAGTCTGACTCACATAGGTGTACAGGCATACCTGAAGCTTTCTTTAGATGTTCTTGGTTTCTTTCTTCCTTTCCTTTTTTTGAGGTGGGCCCAAGCTGGCATCAAACTGCTGATCTGCCTGCTTCAGCCTCCCAAGCTCTGATATTATAGGTATGTACCACTACATACACCCCAGTTTCTTGTCTAAACATCAATGGACCTCCATTCCAACTCCAACCTCTCCCTCTACTCTGAGATTAATCAGTATTGTGTTTACTGGAGAGATTCTAGTTTCAGTATTTATAATGTTATCTCATTTAAAAATACTGGACAATATTTTGTGTGTATGCACAAATTCCTGTGTATAGGTGCACATATGTGCAGGCCAAAAAGTAACAAATCTTCCTCAGTCCCTCTCCATCTTGTTTCTTAAAACAGGGTCTTTCAGCTGGGCGTTGGTGGCCCCCGCCTTTAATCCCAGCACTCAGGAGGCAGAGGCAGGTGGATCTTTGTGAGTTCGAAGCCAGCCTGGTCTACAGAGCAAGTTCCAGGACAACCTCCAAAGCAATACAAAGAAACTCTGTCTCAGAAAAAAAAAAAAAAAACCAAAATAACAAGGTCTTTCACCAAACTTGGAGCTCATCGATTGAGCTAGCCTGGATGGCCAGTGAGCTCCAGGGATGCCCCTGTCTGTACCTCCCCACAAAACCTGGCATTTCACATGGGTGCTGGGATGTGAACTCAGGTTTTAAAGTTTGTACTTTACCAGCTAAGCCATTCCCCCAGCTCCTTAACGTTTTCTTAATATTACTTCATTCATTTTATAATTTTTTTTTTTTGGTTTTACGAGACAGGGTTTCTTTGTATTGTTTTGGAGGCTGTCGGTCCAGCCCGGCCTCGAACTCACAGAGATCCACCTGCCTCTGCCTCCTGAGTGCTGGGATTAAAGGCGTGCGCCACCAACGCCCAGTTTTACTTCATTCATTTTATTTTATTTGAGAGTGTGTGTGTGTGTGTGTGTGTGTGTGTGTGTGTGTGTGTGTGTTATTGGAGGCCAGAAGAGGGTGTTGGATTCTCTAGAGCCAGAGTTACAAGTGGTTTCAGCCACCTGCGTTGGGAACTAAACTTGGACCCTCTGGAGGAGCAGCAAGTATTTTTAATCACTCAGCCATTTCTCCAGCTCTTTTTTGTTTGTTTGTTTGTTTTGTTTTTTAAGACAGGGTTTCTCTGTAGCTTTGAAGGTTGTCCTGGAACTCTCTCAGTAGAGCAGGCTGGCCTCAAACTCACAGAGATCCACCTGTCTCTGCCTCCGGAGCGCTGGGATTAAAGGTATGAGCCACTACCGCCGGGCCAGGTCTTCTTTTATGTACTCTATAATGCCTCTCGACACTATCTCCAACTACTCAAGTATTCCCTTTTAAGTAGTCATCTTAAAGTGTGCTATTAAAATTCACCTACAAGCATATTACCTTGTAAGTTTACCTCCTGGGCTGTATAGCCACTTAAGAAATTAAACATGAATGACTGAATTTCCTCTCCTCACTTGTTACTGTGTGAGCAGAAGTCATATTTAAATGTCCATAAAGCCTACTAGAAGGGATGAGAAAGCCTACGACATGCTGTTCAGCCCATGCGTCCTTTCCTCAGCACCCATCTCCACCCAAACAGCACAACTCTGCAGACTACGGACCCCCATCACTTTTACTACGTCTCTCGGGAATACTTACTAATGACCCACAGAATCGCTTAATGCTACGGCTTCTAGTTCATTTTCTCACCAAATGGACAGCAATGACCACTGGGAGCTCCCCGACCACTTTGAAGCCCTCTCACTCCAGCCTCTCCCACCTGGAGAGCACCGCTTCGTTTTTCCCAGAGCTCTTCCTGGCCCAGAACACCTCCTGCTCCCTATAGAGAAATTAGGGACTCAGGAGAAAGACATCACCTCCAGCTGTTTTGACTTAACAAGCTTCTCTAGATGAAGCCAACATAACTTGGTCAGAAAATTGCTGCCAAGCTTTATGTAAAAGCAGCATTTTGTAGCCGGGTGGTGGTGGTGCACGCCTTTAATCCCAGCACTCGGGAGGCAGAGGCAGGCGGATCTCTGTGAGTTCGAGGTCGGGCTGGACCGACAGCCTCCAAAACAATACAGAGAAACCCTGTCTCGAAAAAAGAAAAAAAAAAGTACCATTTTGTTAAGCACCTCTAGGAACGTGTGAGGGCTCACAAGACCAGGATTTCTCAATTAGTTCCTTCCTTGCGAACCACAGCCCCCGCGAAGCATCGGAGCATGGCTAGGGTTGAATGCGTCCTATTGCTTAGTTTATCCCACTAGAAAATGGTTGCTCCTCACTCACTTTGGGAGGGATGATGATAGCTCAGTTTGTTTCCAGAATCTGCATTTGGCTCTGCTCTTCGCAGGAACAAACCACTTAACCTTTTTAAGCCTCTGTTGGGACTGGGTAAAATAAGAAATTCTGCCCTCAACAAATGGTAAGTACACTGCAGTCCCTTTCATCCAACCAGGCAAGAGCGTTTGGAAGCAAGCTGTGGCTCTCGCGGGATAAATTTGGTGTCAGAGCATCCTGAGCCCCCGAAATTTGATGCCCAGTGCTGTACTCCTGTTTTGGTGGATTCTGCAAAAACCGCTCCACCGCGTCAAGGTCTGAAACAGGATCTAAAACAGACCGGGATTCAGTAAGGTAGCTGAGACTTCTGACTGAGCGACAGAATGTTGAACGGAAGTGAGGAAAGGCTTCGGTTTGAGCGGAAGTAGAGATGGTGAGTGAGGTGGTGGGTGCAGTCCTATTTTCTCCTTGTCGCCCCGTATGCCCAACCTTTGTGCCCCCGGAATCAGGCGCGGCCTAGAGACGCCTCTAAATTTACCTCAGGTAAGTAATTCACCTCAGCCGGAGGCCGCAGCCTGTGGAAGCTGCAGATGGCGGGAACCGAGCTTCAAATCCCCGCTCAGGGGCGGGGCCAGTGGGCGGGGCCTGCGAGAGGACCGAGTTGCGTTGGCCGGGCTCCAGGGGGCGGGGCCCCGGCCCCGACTAAGACACGTCGCGGCCGGGGGGAGGGGTTTGGGAGAAGGGGCGGGGCGTGGGCGGAGCAGGGGCAAGGGGGGGTTAGTCTGTGGTCTCTGTGCAGAAGAAGCTGGTGAGATCAAAGCCGTGTGTGGTGGGTCGTGGAGCTTTTGGCGGCTCGGTGAGTGCTGGCCCGTCCTTTCCCGGCCTTATGCTGCGGTCCTTATCCTGCCGGATCTGCAGCTGCTTCGAGTAGGTGGGGGAAACGGGCGATCTGGGCGGAGGATCCTTTGTGTTGCCTTCTGGCTTGCTCAGGCGTGCACTGAGGGCAGTGAAGCTAGAAACCCCGCTGGGGGCCGGATCCCAAGCTGGGAGCCCAGACCCCGGAGGCCGCACCGGGGTCCCTGAGCCCGGGTGAATTGATTCGGAGCTCAGACCCCCGAGTCTGGCGCACCAGCCGCGCCGAGGACCAAAAGGTGGAGTCGGAGGGTCGGGAGATCGCCCAGAGCTTCTGGGGCGGGAGAGGCGGCAGGAGAGAGGTGAGCCCAGAGGCGGATGAGCGTGGAGGCCGAGTGGCGGGGTCCTGGGGCGCCAGGCCAAGGCGTGGACCCGGGAGCAAAGGATGGATAAGGGAAATTCTGCCCTGAGGCCTGGAGACCCGCCTGACGCTGACCTTGAGACTAGCTCCCAGAGACCTAGCCTCCCTCCACTGCTCGAGTGTTTAGTCTCTGCCTCTGGTTTTCTCCAGTTCACTCTGTGATTTTGGTTCTTGCAGAGAGCTGATTGTAAGCATTGCTCCCCAACTCTGTTTCTCATCCCGAGGTCTTTCGTGACTACTCCAGCTTATTCCTTTGTTGGTCAGTCGCTGTATGATCTGCTTTGACATCCCTTGGGTCCCTTCCCTCACACTTACTGACCTACTCTGAAGCCCGACTTAAGCAGCTGAGTCTTTGCCCCACTCTCAGTTGAGTCACCCAGGAAACGTCCTTCTCTGGTCTTCTCACGGACCCCCCACTCCTTCCGCTCTTAGTCACCCAGCCTTGTAGACCTGCGTCTGCCAGGTTAGTACCTGGCCCTTCGGCTGCTAGTCCTTTCCCAATGCATTTGCTTATGAATAGAAGTTCCTACTTAGGTTTCAGTTCTAAGTAAACAATTCGAGGTTAAATCTTCCCACTTCTTCCTTGCATCAGGCATTTCCTGAGAGCAGATGTGTCCCGTCCTCTACTTTTGCTGCGTGTTTATAGTTTCCCTACAAAACTGAGCGAACACCACTAGGGGACTGGTTTTGTTGTTGTTGTTGATTTTTGTTTTGTTTTGCACAAGTGGAATGCTCATCCATTTGTTTGATTACAAATGGTGGCTTACAAACTGTGAATTCAGAGAGATTGGTAGGTCTGAAATGTGGAGTCATTGTAAAGGAGCAGAAGGAGATGCCAGGCTGGGGGTTTGGCTAGCCTCTGGGAAGCCGCTTCCAATGTGTTGTGGCGGCCGTGGCGTGAGCTTGAATCATCCCTGCCACAACCCAGTGTTTAGACCGGCTTTGATTTGTAGTACAGCAGAATAAGGCTTTTGGAAAGTAAGACTGTGTTTTAATGAGGGGACAGTTTATTGAAATGTGGCAGCAGTGGACCTGGTACAGAGTAACAGAAGTGAAATGCTGCACCTAATTCAGACTGCTTTTGTTACCCAGTCTTGCCTCCTGCCATTTGAAGCACCCTCAGTCTCTATCTGATATAAGCAATTGCTGTGCCCCTCTATGTTTCAGTTTCCAATCGAACAACACATTCACTTCATCCCTTTTCTAAAGTTACAACACAATCATTTTCTTCAAAGACCTTGCATTAGTTATGGTCTTCGAGTTAGACGATACTTTAAGTTCTATGGCAGTGATGGGACATTTTTTAAAAAGATGTGGAAATTCTTACATCCTTAAGTACTTATATATTCACTTAACAAATTTTAAAAAGGTATTGGAGAGGAAAGGACAACTTCCCTCTCTGTTGTCTGACTATTTGAGGCCAGGACCCAAGGTGCTTACCAACTCATTCATAAATCAGGCACAATCCATATAATTCATAGGGTTGTTGTAAAGATCAGATGAAATAATGTATCTAGCAGTGTTTTGTTAAGTGTGAGGTTCTACATAATAGTTTTTGTTCTTTTCTTCAATGTTCTCTGTAGAGCGGCTTCATTCTGCTAAAAGCTAAATAAAATCATCTAATGAGGACTGGCCATGGGCTAGCATCTACCCTGCTGCCATTTTTAAATACCAGTGAGCATGGACATAAGCTCTATATAGGGGTAGGGTCTGCCTCTTCTGCTACTTCATGCACTCAAGGCTCAGTGCAGTTCCTGCAGACAGCGGATATTCAGTAAATTATATAGTTACCTGTCATTTTTATAAAAGACACTCATGATCTCCCATTCTAAACTTTATTTCAACAACAATAACAACAAGGTTGTTTTCAAGCAGGCCGGTACACATCCACAAGAGCATAGAGGGTCTTAGAGGTCTTTGCTGTTTTCTTCTTTTGTCTCTCCAAAAACTGTGGTCTGATAATAAGAGCCATATTCTTTCCAACTTGTGACACGGGGTCAGATGGGTTCAGCATACCAGTCTGCCTCCCTGGGGTTGTGTGGCCCATACCAGAAACAAGAACACAAGATCATTTATTTGTTCCTCTGATACAGTGAACTGTTTTCCATATTTTCTTTTTTTAATTTAAATTAGAAACAAGCCTGTTTTACATGTCAATCCCAGTTCCCTGTCCCTCCCCTCCTCCCCTGCCCTCTCCATATTTTCTTTTCCTTTTCCAGCTTGCATCTTTTCACTTTCATTCTACTTTAAAACATTAAAAAGATTGACTTTATCAGATTCAGTGGCAACAACCAGTTTGGTGTATCCCCAAAGGAACTGAGACCAGGTGGGACAGATTTGGAAAAAAAACAAAAGAAAAAACCCCCTGGTCCACTACAGATGAAATCTTTTCTTAACCAGGCTACTGTGAAACAGATACCCTTTCTGTTTCATTTACCTAATGTGAAACTCCCTGTGCTCGCGAGGCTTTGTCCTTATTGGCAGATAGTAAATACCATCCTGATGTGTCTCAAATTGTTCTGCACACATAGAGGTGGGCTTCCCAGGAGCCACACTCTGGTGGCTTCATATTCCTATTGTCAGAAAAGTAGGTAGACATATAGAAGACGTTCTAATGGCTTTTGCTGAAGGTTTAAAGAGATAGTTTACATTTATAAAGAAATTACCCATTGCCATGAGAAGCATCCTAATCCTTACTCCTGTTTTCTTCATTGTGATAAGTGCACTATAGTTGACTTGCATTTGTGGACTTTACCATCACAAAGGAAGGATTATCAAACTAGAAATGGGACCTGTATTGAAATGTGTAGACATTTTAATCATCCACTGAACAAAACTTCGTAAAAGTTTAATGTTGTACTAGGTAGGTGTCATCAGTAATAAGCAGTAGCGATGCTTAGCGTATCTGTGAAAAACCCACCATTTTATACAAAGGCTTTGGAATTGGATTTGCTATATGAGGTGGGTTCTGGCACCAGTCAGTCATCCATGAATGCTGAGGAACAGCTATGTATTTGATTTCAGTTTTTAATCAGTTTCTATCATGCCATATATGTTTTTAATCTCATTTAATTAGAGCACTTGAGCTCATGGGATTTTTGTTCCCTTCAAATTAACTGTAGTTTTGTCACCTCTATATGGCGTTGAGTGGTTTATAGACTGTAGAGTAGAGTTTGCTACCTGGAGCTGAAGTTGTCACTCTGTCACTTAAAAAGTGACTAACTTTCAAAGTTCCATTTAACTAAAATCTAAAGTGGGACCACTATGCCTCTGTGCCATTGGGAAGCCTACTGCTCAGGTTAGTTTACATGAACTGGAAGTGAGAGACATGCTTACTTTGGCTACGACTTTCTTAAGTCTTTACTCCTAATTTTGAACATTCACATCTAAGGGGAGGATCCAGAAATGAAGAGTGTTGACTCTTCTGTGTCACTATGGGATTTACAAAACAGAGATTAGATTTGATGCCGTGCCTTATGGGGTGTTTGTAAGTCAGCCATTGGAACAGTTGATGATAGGGGACAGATTCTCCGATTAAGACTATCCAAAGCTGAGTCTGGGGACATGGTTCAGAAAGTGAAGTGCCTGCTATGCAAGCATGTGTACCCAAGTTCAGATCCCTAGCACGCATGTAAAAATGGAGGATGGTGAACTGTAGCTGTAATCCCACAGGACATACGTAAATCCCAGGACTAGTGCCTTAGTCTTAGCCAATATAGAGAAGGCCGGGTTCAGTGAGAAATTTTTTGTCTCAAAAAAAAAATAAGGTAGTAGGCAATAGAGAAAATACCAGAACTCTACATCTGGCCACCCTGTGCACAGGTATAGGCAGGCGCACCCTCACCCTCATGCATAACACGCACATGTGCGCGCTCTCACACACACACCTCTAAAAGTGGTTTGTATTAATGTAACATCTCATTTCAAATCTCGACCATAGGTGAGTCTTGATCTATCTATGTTGTAATGGGTATTTGTCTTATTTCAAGTTGTTATTGATATATCATACCTCACTGTCTAGTTTTTAATTTTAGAAATAACTTCTGGTCCTGTGCTTTAATTCTGAAGATTACTTATTCTGTCTTCCTCCACGGTTGTAAGGAAAAACTGGCAAAGAACTGTGTAAATAGTTCCAGCTTCTCGCATCTTTAAGGAAAGCTCTCTTTCAGGGTGACAGTAAATTTATGCCAACATTTCCAAACTTTTGAACATCTGACTGCTGTTGCTGGGAACTAGAGAAGTGAATATAAGTGTTAGATTCCAGAGTGTCATGAGGCCAAATGCATTGACCTACAGCTTCCTGGTGACCATCAAATATATTCCCGAACCTTTCTAGTCATTTGCATCCTAAACTGATGCTGGG